TTTATCTTTTTGGACTTTGAAGATAGGGCTCCAAGCTCTCCTAGCCTGCAGGGTTTCTGTGGATAAATCTGCTGCTGTTCTAATTGGTCTTCCATGGTGGGTGATCTGGCCTTTTCTCTTGCTACCTTTAGGATTTTTTCTTTTATACCTACTTTGTTTAGGTGAATCATTATGTGTCTAGGAGTTGGTCTTCTCATTTGTTGTCTTGCAGGGGTTCTCTGAATCTCTTGTGTTTGAATTTTTGCATCACTGATTAGATAAGTGAAGTTTTCTTGAATGATCTCATGGAAAGTTTGTTCCAGTGTGGTCTCTGTCTCTCTTTCTGCCTCAGGAAGGCCAATTACTCTTAGGTTAGGCCTCTTAAGGTAATCGCTCATCTCTTGAAGGTTTTGTTCTGTCTTTTTGAGCTTGTTTTCTGTGTTTTTAAGAGTTTGGGATAGTTCTATATTTTGGTCCTCAAGCTCTGAGATTCTTTCTTCTGCTTGGGTAATTCTGCTTTCCATGCTTATCAGTTTGTTATTTATTTCATTCATAGTATTCTTTATTACTGTTATCTCAGTTATCAGCTCCTTCCTAGTTTCTTCTTGTCTCTCCTCAATTCCTTTTAATCTCTCCATTAATGTCTTGATATCTAGGTTGAGACCAGTCATTCTGGGGGCTCTTCATTGTTTGCATTCTGAAGTCAGTTTTCTCAGTATCTGCCCTCCCAGGGATCTGGGAGAGACCCATATTCTTCTTTTTGTTTTTCTTCATTTATGTAGATTTCTCTCTCTCTCTCCCCCTTTCCCTCTCCTTCTTTAATTCTGTTTTTCAAGAAAGGTGGGGTGCTTTTGCTTCACTTGTGCAATCTCCTCTTCTTCCTTATGAGGGTCCTCTGGCTTTGTTCACTTTTGAAGTTGGAGTGTGGGCTGCAGGGTGTACTTTTTGCTGTTTTGAGGTTTAATTGAGAGGGAAGCTATGATTCAGAATCTATATGCTGATTCCAGCATCCACCAACCGGTGTATGGGCACACTGGAACCTATTTCCCACTGCCTTACAATCTGTGCAGCGGGATGTAGGTTTGGTCCCTGGAACAAAAGGAGGTACAAAAGGGGAAAATAATGGAGGAAGGAGGGATCAATAGAAAGTTAGAGAGAAGAGTGAGAGGGAAAACAGACATACATACCAACTAACAGGTGAAAAAGAGACACAAGGCTGGAGAGAAGTGAAAGAAACACGCAAGCAAAATTTCCTAAGGAATACTGGTAGCTACACAAAGGCAGACTAATAAAATTGTGCCTTTTGATGCATTTTCCCTAACCCAAACAGATAGTGTAAGTCAAAAAGCAAACAAAAATGAGCAAAACAAGCAGTCTAAATGATAAAATCAAAAGTCAAAATAAGAAATCAGACTAGCTCTGGAATCTTTCCTGAGTGTCTAAAGTCTCTTCAGCTCTGATCTCCAGTCTCTCCCCTTTGCTTTCATTGCAGGCAGCTAGATTTACTCACAGCTTGGGTTTGTTCTTTTAGCCTGCTACCTAAAGGTCTGCAACTCTTAGTTGCCTGTGTCTGATTCAGCGTGAGTGGGCGATTTGTCTCCTCTTTAACGGATATTTCCTTAGGAACTGAGGTGGAGGCTGCTCATAGGTGGGCGGGGCAATGCAAATCTCTGCCTGGAGAGTGGCTGCAGTGGCACCTCCTTTTTCGCGGATCTTTTCTCTCCGCTCGTCTGGGTCCCTGGGCGATTCACTATGATGGGCTGTAGTGGCATGCGAGGCACCGGGGATTAGCTGCACAGTTGGGCGCTGGATCCGGGGTGTCACCAGCAGGCTGGGGTGGAGGAGGGAGTCGGGAGTTCCCTCCTCTGGAACTGAGAGCCTCTGATCAGCACCTCCTTAAGATATGCTGTTCCCTTACACAAGCATGGGGTCATGCACTGGGTGCCTCAGCCAGGGTGGGCCCAGAGTGCTCCAGGGCTCCAAAGCTTCAAAGGGCAGGCGGTGAGTGGTGAGAGTGGCCCTGGGCCCCTCACAGGGTACTTCAGCCAGAAATGGAACCAGTATCTCTGAGGGGCGGGCTCCCAGAGCCTCCCTGGGTGACCAGTGGCTGGGTGCTAGGTGAGACAATGTAGCCAAGGAGGGAGCTGAGACCTGAGACTCCCACGTGTGCGGGGGTTGCGTATAGTGGAGCAGCAGCAGCCGGGGACCGCAATATCTGACCCTGCATGGGACCGAGGGTCCCCGGGCCTCAGACCAGTGTAGCTGGCAGTGGGCAGGGGGGTGGGGGAAGAAAAGTAAGAATCTTTTTGGGAACTCACATTCAGAGAATCTCGCAATTCCACCTATGCCTTCGCCATCTTACCAGAACCCCTTGATTTTTTTTTCTTTCCTTTATTTTTTTTTTCAAGTTGAAGGTCTTCACTTTCAGGAAATCTGTCAAGTTGCCATTATTTTCACTGAGATGTCTGCAGTAATTCCGTCTAAGGGGAAATTTCAAGACAGTGAGCAGTTCAATATGGGCTTTGCCTTTTTTGACCTTGACTCCACAGATGAAACTGTCACAGCAGCCTCCGAGCCACAAGATGGCATGGCGGGGGAGGGGGGGGCGATAGGCATACTTCTAAGAGTCAGAATAAATACCGTTTGTGAAACTAAGCTCTGTTTAACAAACTCATTATGTATAGCTAACTGGACTACGTACTAGAAATTAAAAACTTAGGCTGTTATTCCCAACCCTCAGGAAGCAGAGCATATGTACAGGGAAACTATAACTCAGAGAATAAGCAACTTCAAACATGCAGTGCTAAGGCAGGCATCAGAGTAATTTTTGGTGGTTATCAGCATAAAAGTCACAGCTAAAAACTTGTGAGTGGATTAATTGCCCAGAGGGTGAGTGAGGATGCTGGAGTACTGGCTTCTGTAGTTTTGGTAGACAGGCTTATGGTTTTTGACTGATTGCAAACAGGCCTGACTGCTTAATGTTAGGGTACAGATGAACAGGATGAGGGAAAATGGAGAGGGATAGGCGAGGCGCGCAGCACTGCCAGGGCTGGCAAACTGAAGGTACGTGCTGGCAACCCAGAGATCCGAGTAGATGCAAAGAACTGTGACACACAGAGGTGAGAGAAGAAAAGATATATTTAAGAAAAGTTCACCCCCCCCCAGACAGGGAGTGGGCCTGCACTCTAGGTGAGCGTGGCCTCATAGCCCCCAAGAGTCCTGGCTTAAATCCTTCTCTTGGAGATGTTGCACGTGACTGCCGTGACTTCCTTATCAACCACCTGTGGATGTCTTGGAGAACCTGTGACACAGAGACCCATTAATGTCCGCCCACATTATCATAGCCCCTAGAGAAGGGCGTGACAAGGATTCTAATGCTCCTGCACCTTCCCAAATGACATTCCTTAGAGCTAGTGGATGGTGCACTTCCCCTTATCTCCTAGGCATTCCCAGTGGGTAGCTTCAGGGGATTCTTGGCTTCCCTGTAGATAGTGCCCAATTTACTAGACGATCGAATCCCCACCTGCTCTCCCTCTGAGCGATTATAACTTGTGTAATTACAAGTTTCATGACTTTTACGGTCCTTTCCCAATGCATGATGCCTCAGGCCTTGTAAATTTCCTTTACTCTAAGCAAGCTTGATTGCCACTATGAGATACCTGACACCAGGAAGTCTGCTTCTGAAAAGATAAAGTCGGCAAAGTTAATTTTACTTAAAGTGTGCATTTCTCCAAAAGCATAGCTTCTACTTTCTCATCACTGCATTAAGATTTAGGAAGAAGAGTAAAAAAATGCATTTCCCACTCTCGGCCTGTCCTTTCACTTAAGAAAATCAAACTAATTTAGTATGAGACCGAGTCAATTTACATCAGTTAATATAAAAATTCCACTGTCCCCTATTTATATTTTGTGTGCTATATCTTAACGGGGCCATCAGTAAACTTGAGTTTATCCAAGGGAACCAGTCAGGATGGCAAAGGGACTAAATGTTCCATGAAAAACAATCAGTATATTTGAAGTTGTTTTACCTGCAGAAGAAATGTCTTGTATGGGGAGCATAACAGTCTTCAGTTTTTGAAGGACTGTCTCCCTGTCTAAGATATCACAGTGACAGGGAGTCAGATATTTGCTCTAAAAAGGGTAGACCATTCTCCTGGTAAGAGTTGTGAAAATTGGAATACGCTGTCTTTTAAAGTAACAAATTAGAAATGCCCAAATGCTAGTGACTTCCAAATGGACTGGAAAGGTTTAGTCGACCTGGGTCCTTGCAGTCATTTCTTTGTTGTTCTCACTGCATTGCTGAGAATTACCTATCAGGGCCTCATTGCTTTAACTAGAGAAGTGAATAGTGGTTTCAATTCAATAATGGATTTTATACCCTGGTACACCTTTTTATAGGGGTTGGGCTGATATAAAGTTGTTAACATATTACTGTGCTAGGAGATTTATAAAGCAAGTAGAAGATCACAGTAAAAGAGAGTGGCTTCCAAGGAAGGACAGTTGGCAATATGTGTTTTCCTTAGTGACCAGTGGATTCTTTATTGTGAGACTGGGACATGTCTGAGTTTGGAAAGTAGTGTGGTGGAATCTCTAGACCAGAGGATCTCTTAAATTCTCTTCCGATTCTATAAATCCTTATAATGTTTTATTCTTAGCTGTTGAAAAGTACTATTGCATAATTAGAAAAGCATGGACTCTGGAGCCAGACTGCCTGGGTTTGGATTCCAGCCCAGATTCTTAATTGCTGTGTGACTTTAAGAAGTCCCTTAATTACTCTGTGTTTTAGTTTCTTCATATTTAAAATACAGATTAAATGGTTATTGTCTACTAGAGTTCCTGCCATGATAAAATGAGTTAGTAACTTGTTCAGTTACTTAGAACAGGGCCTGGCTCAGAGGAAACAATGTTGGTTCTTGTCATTATTACTTGAAACAATGTTTCAATGAACTGTTAAAATAGATATAAAATGATACAGAATGTGTAAATGTTCTTTCTAGATAACTCAAAATTCTAAGAAGAAATTGTCGGTTTTGTTTCACCACTTTATAAGGCACCCAGCAAAACATTTTGAGGAAAATCCAGCTCTAATTTCTGACTTAACAGGTTGGTTATAATAGCATATTTAAATTTTAAATGGAGTTTTTCATTATTGTTTTGGGTAGGTTGTTATTAGTAGACAGTCTTTGGAATTATGATATTTCAAATATTTGAACCTATTATATATTATTAATTTCCTATGATGATGCTGGTGCAGTTCTTGGTTAGGAAGAGAAAAAGTAGAAAAGCAACTTGAAAGATGCTGCTGATAAAAATTTTGTCCCCCAAATATCATGATAAATAGAACATCTTTAGTTAAATGTTTCTATTCTCCTGACAGTCATATAAAATAAATGCTATATTATTCTTGACTCTTTTCAGTTTCTCAGTTATCAATTATTCTAAAGTCTTCTTTTGGATGACCAATATATCTTTTGTTGGTAAATTTTGTTTTTAAATATAAAGCAAAATAATTTGCTTTGTCATTTTAAATGTAAAGCAAATTATACTTCTTAAACTCTTCTTAATTATATGTCTTCCTTGGGAAATGAAATATTTGTTTCCTTCTATTGATAATTCCTTAAAGACACCACATAGATTTATATTTCACTCAGTGTGAATGCTAGTTGGTGATGAACATCAAGAAAACATTGCTAGATTATCTATCTTAAAGTAGCCAGTTTTTGGGAAACCACCTCTTTATTGTGATTGAGGAGTATTTTACCAGGATTCAAAAAAAAAAAGAAAGAAATTATTTAATATAAGAACAAAACAAGGCAAATAAATTAATTTCCTTTACCTTAAGGGACATCTATGTGGGTTCCAGTAAAAGTATCCAAATGGACCTATGTGGCTTACAATGTAAGTATCCACCAATGGATTTTTTAAACTTTTTTCAGAAATATTTTAGTATTCATCTTTAGAAGTTAAAGAATCTTTTAAAAAGATATCTACATACCATTTTCCCACAATTTAATGATAATTTCTAAATCATAAATATATAGTCAGTGTTCAGTTTTACACTTTTATCATGAATGGATCATGTATTTTTTTGCTGTTGTATTTTTCACTTTGTTTAAATCAGGATCCAAACAAGGCATACACATTTTGAGAGATATGTTTCTTATATCTCTTTAATACTTTACCTATCCCCTTTATTACTAAAAAAAAAAGTCATGTGTCCTATAGAGTTTCACACAGTGTTGATTTTGCTGATTGCATTTCTGTAGTCATTCAGCATACCTCTTTGCCTATTCTTTTCCCACGTTTTAGTAGTTGGATCTAGATGCTTGTTCTGATTCAGATTTTTGTTTTGTTTTTGTTTGTACTAAACTGTCTCTCTTTGTGTGATGTTAGTTGCTGTTGATGAGAAATGCTTGAAGGCATTAATTCATTTAGGAGGATGCAAAAGTGATGATACTTCAGTTTTATTATTTCTTCTTATTAACTGGAATACTACATAGAAAAACTTGCCCTCATCTGTGAAATTTGTCAAACATTGATTATAAGTGAAAAGAATGATGACTGCATGAATCTTTAGCTCTTATATTTACTAGTTATCAGAATAGGGAGTTGACTTAAAAGCATCCTCCATCAGTGACCATCGGAGGGTTTTTCCCCCTAGTATTCTTATGAACTCATGGATTTAAATATATTTGTTTTACTCCGTTGATACTAAAATTGTTCTATGTTTGACCAGTGGAATTGTTTCAAGTTTGGTTCCTAATTCTTTTGATACAGCTTTTTAATTGTCTTTAATAGTTTCCTCACTGTCCAGTATTAACAAGATATTTTGGCTCATCTTGCACATTTCCTGCCTCAGAGCTTGAATCAGCTGTTTCTCTAATTAACTATTCCTTTTATTTGGGAAATGGTATCTCTGAACCCCATAACCTAGCACTAGAAATCCTTATGATTACCGGGTTGACATTCCTAGGCCTTTTCAGTGGTCAGAGCTAAGAAATATATTTTATCTTAACTAAAAGGCAAAAAAAAAAAAAAAAAACCACAATAAAACAAAACAAAACAAAATACCCATGCATTCATACTGATATTTCCAGGACAAATTCAGGACTGCAGAGTTTATATATCTGTATCTTACCTCTGTATGTTCTTCCTCTCACTTCTAGAGTGCTGGTTTTCAGTAACACCAAGAATGATAGAATAGTCATATATTTGCTTTATCTGGATTTTTGAATGATGAAATGAATCCACTCTCTCATTATAGCTATATTGAATGTTCTCCTTCTTTTTTTAGGAATCTAATAAGATATATTTTGCATTTCCTCTTGCAAATCATAGAAAAATCTACACTCATGTCTACTGTCAGAGCACTATGCTGGTAAGATAATTTGTATATTTTATGTAAATGTAAAAGGCAAACTTGTTTATTTTTCAAATTCTCATATCTAGTAGAACTAGCTATTACTATTAAATCTAATTGAAAAATATTTGTCTGGAATACTGTTTTGATTGGAAATTGCTAATCAAAATTTCTCTATAACAGATTAAATTTTACTATTAAATTTTAGCTTTGGTCCTAGTTTAGGTCCTCTCTTTCCACCTTAGTTTTTCACATGTTCATGATGAAGAAATTGAATTCAAAAGCCCTTTACTTCCAAATTTCTATCAGTGCTTTAAATAATAGGTATATTTAAGCAAAGCTTTTCTGTAGGAATTTTATAAAGCATTGACTTTCATTCTAAAATTTGAAGTACTTTTTCTACCAAATATTATTTGAGAGCATATTGCAATGTTATCTGAACTTACTGTATCACAGTAATGATTTTGCTTGTGTGTTTCTTTTTAATGAGTACCTGCTATGCTAAGCATTGTTTTAAAAAAATTAGATGCAGTAGCATGCTTTTGTTATGATTTTAGAAATAGTTTAAGTAATACTTTCATACATAATTAATCAATATTTCTTACTTTCAGGAATTTTTCGTAATTTGAGTTTTTTTCCCATTGTTTTTCATTGTTGGTTTTTTTTTTTGGCTTTTTTTTTTGTATTGCTCTAGATTCTTCACTCTATACTTGCATCTTTTATAAGTTCCTCCTTCTCCCTTTTGTTAGGTTTTTTTTAGGAACAAGACTTAGTATATTATTTTGCTGATAGGTGCTGTCATCTGATTGTATTGTAAAATATTTTTAAAAGATGATAGGCAGGCATTGTGGGTTAGGTACAAGTGAATAATACATTTTAGTGGAAATACCAGAGTTTTGCATTTCTCACAGATAAAAGCATCTCTGAGCCTAAACTCTGGATAGGCAGTTTATCCTGGGAGAATCTGGCACTGAGAGTAATGACTTCAAATATCCACACTCAATTAATACTAAATTTCACATCAGAATGTCAGTAGTATATTGAGAAAACATACTTACCAAAGTACAAATTATCCGTTTGGCTGATTGGAGGATCCTTTTCTTGTACTAAGATTCATGGGTATTAATTAGTATAAAGTCATGTACTGAATTTTAAAAATATTTTTCATTATTATAGAAGTTTTCAAGAATATATTTTTAAAAAACAGAGAGAAAATACAATAAATAATTATTTTGTAACCAATACCTGGACTCAGGCGATCCTCCTATCTCAGTCTCCTGAGTAGCTGGGACTACAGGTGTGCCTTCACATCCAGCTAATTTTTGTATTTTTTGTAAAGCTGGTCTCACTACGTTGCCCAAGCTGGGCTTGAACTCCTGGCCTCAAGTGATCCTCCCACCTCAGCCTCCTTAAGTACTGGGATTACAGGCAGGAGACTGCAAGGATTACCTGCCAAATCTCTTTAGTAGCCCCTCCCTTTTTCCCCCATGCCACTTATTTGTTTACAGAAGTGTGTTATATTTTCTACAGAATTTCCCAAGTTCTGGGTTTAACTGAGTGTATTCTTATGGTGTCTTTTAATATGTATTTCTATCCCCTGTGTTTTGTGTAGACTAGTAGTCTTGATTAGACTCAGATTCATTTTTATAAGTAGAGCTGTGCACCTCCTATTTCATTATATCAGGAAGTACATAATATCTTGTTGTCCTGTCTTTAGTGACATGAAGACATCAGTGGGCTCAGTGGTACCACATGATCCATCCATTGTAAAGTTCCCAGTCAGGTCCAGATGCAGTGATTCACACCTTATAATCCCAGCACTTTGGGAGGCAGGCAGATTGCTTGAGCCCAGGAGTTCGAGACCAGCCTGGGTAACATAGCGAATCTCATCTCTGAAAAAAAAAATTACCTGGGCATGATGGCATGTGCCTGTAGTCCCGGCTACTTGGGATGCTGAGGTGGAAGAACCCCCTAAGCCTAGGAGGTCAAGGTTGCCATGAACCATGATCACTGTGATCATGCCACTGTACTCCAGCCTGGCAAAAGAGTGAGAACCCAAATTTTACAAAAATAATAAAATTCTCAGTCAGTCTTCTACCTAATGATTTTAGCAACGATTAGTTAGGAGGGTTTTCTATATGACTTTTGAAATTGGTTTGTTTTTTTTTTTTGAGATCTAGGTTATATCAGCATGGTGTTTTAGAGCAGGCTTGAATAATACATTATCTGTTCAATTCGTAAGTGAATAAGTCAAAATTCCCTATACACAGAAGTAAGTAGTGTGGAACATTGGTAGGTTTCATAATGAGGGCTACCTTTGAAGATAGGCTCCCTGAGTAGCTTCAGAAACCCATCTTAAAAGTGTGTTGATCTTTAGAAGTGACTGCATTTTCTTGGTCTGGGCTGTGCAGATCTGTTTTGCTGCCTTGCTTTGTAATGTCTGCCATATTAATTATTCTGGGAAGTACAGGTCACTGATACAGGAACCACGCAAGCATGTTGCCTACAGAGAAATACCACATTGTTTTTTATTTGTTTCCTGATAACTTTCTTTTCTGTATTCTTGAAAAATGTCTTAAAATTATATTTAAGTTGAGTGAGGGCAGAGGCTGTGTCTGCCTGAATCATCATCTTCCCTGTGGGCTTAGTATATATTTCCTTGACCCTAGCACAGACTTTATAAATACTGGTTGAATAAAAGCATTGATTTTTTGCATCGTCTCATCTGTAACTCAAAGGACAAAGTAATGTAGTTATCAGAGGAGTGTTCTTCATCCTTTTATGTCATAATGGGACTTGAGTAGCTAGGTCATCATGTTTGGAACATTGCTCTGACTTCTTAAAGTCGAAGTGAAGGTCTTAAGTCATACTGCTCTTAAGTGACAAGAGCTGAGTACAGAAGGTTGCTGAGGTATCACAGCCATCTCTATAGTATTCCCATCCTGTGCTGATGAAGTAATGCTTGGCTTTACTGTGGTCTTATGCTTCAGTTCAAACACATGCTTGTATAGATGTTATCTCCTGGTAATCAAGTGGAAACTCAAATGAGAAAGCAAAAAGCTGTACATAAATTGTTTATTTTTAACTGCTTGGCCTTGGATTTTTTGTTTGTTTGTTTGTTTGTATGAAAGTCTACTTCCAGTTGTTTGTTCCTCTATTTTTTGTTAAAAATGCATATTACTTACCATATAACTATTTGGTTAAAGTATAGACATTACTGAAAGTTTGTTTCAACAATTAGAAATGCTTTAGGCAATGTGCTGTAAAAAGATCCCCATCAGGTCATTGTCTCTCATACTGCTGCTCCAGGTTAACTGCTTACCTGTCGATGTTGGCACTAGACTTCTCTGCCTATCCTTGACCTGTTTGACTTTGAGAACATCTTGGATATGTTTCTCAATAACAAGCTGCTATTTTGTGTTTCCCTTGCTCCTCCTTACCCCATCATAACAGGAAAGTGCTTGTTTTATATGATTATTTTTTATATTTTTTAATGTGTTTTGTTGTGTTTTCAACAGGATACAAATAGTTGGATTTTTGGCTGCATAAACACCACTTCCATGTGGTAAGTCTTTTGAACTCATGGCCCTCCATTGTTCATTTTTCTCAACATAAATGGTACTCGGAAATCATACTTTTAGAGTAGCTTCATTCTTATATTCATTTTACTGCTATATCAAATCATGGTATTACTTTTAAAATGAAAAGTAAAGAAAATGAGTATACTAGTAATTTCTGCAAACACTGAAATTAGTTGGTTGTTAGGAAAAACAATTTTTTTGTTTCTAAGGGAACTGTGTGGACAGACTTAATAGACTTCAATGCATTACAACCCTACCAGATGTGTAGATGGTTTCTTTTTATGATAAAGCTTATTTATAATTTATAATACTTTGATATATTTGTCTTTTAATTATATTTTCATATTTATTTCAAAGCCAGCAAGGAGTTGATTTATCATGGAAAGCTGAACTGCTGCCAACAATTAAGGTAAATTATGGCTTTTGAATTTTAATATCCAGGTTAAAAAAAAAAAATATTTGAGCCTATAGACATTTTTTTGTTTACCTGGATATAAAATAAACTTCAGATTTGCTAACCTATATTTAGAAATAGTTTCTCTAGAAATAAATACATTTGATAGGGAATAACATGCAACTAGTGTTATTATTTTTTTAATGTTCACAGATTAAAAACTCTGTATTACTATAAAAATCCTCTAAATTTCTGTGTGCTGTAGCATCATACCAAAAAAGCTGGATGGATTTTTAAAATTAAATTGCAAGGTGTGTTTGAAAGGTCTGTCTGGAAATACACACTGAGCAATGCACTCAATTCATTTGGGAGGAAGGACCTGTAGTAGGGAAGGGGACATCTCAGAGGAGGAAGGTGATTTTCCAGATGGACTTCAGCATCACTTTGTGATGAGGTGCTAGGGTAACTCTGTCTTGTATTCTCCAGGATTACATATCACAACAGGGGTTTATTTAATTCTTGTTAATGGCTGGGCAGTGTGGCTCAAGCCTGTAATCCCAGCACTTTGGGAGACCAAGGTGAGAGGATTGCCTGAGTTCAGGGGTTCAAGACCAGCCTGGGCAACTCTCTACAATAAATCAAAAAATAAGCCAGGCGTGGTAGCATGTGCCTATAGTTCCAGTTATTTGGAAGACTGAGGCAGAAGGATCACCTGAGCCCAGCAGGTTGAGTCTGTGGTGGCCGTGAGCATACCACTGCACTCTAGCCTGGGCAACAGAGTGAGACTCCAACTAATAAAAAAATAAAAAAATAAAGAATAAAAATACTTGTTAGTGATTTGCTTAAGCAACTCTGGTAGTTCTTTTTATAAAAGGCTAATTTGCATAGCCTCAGTCTATTATTGAAAAGCAAAATAATTCTAAAATTTGATGAAAATATCTGTCCTAATTTCTACTTTGTGGTTATAACTGATAATCTTATGTCAGGATTGGTAGTTTTCAGTCTTCAAGTAAACCTATACTTTAAAAATAAAATATATTTTCATAATGAATTCTAGACTCATTGACTTGAAAGTGGAATCATCTGGTGGTCCCAGACATCTCCCAGTTAACTCCAATTAAGTTAGTTATCTTTTCTCATGAATATTTATATTTGTTTGCCTATACGGTTAACTCTAATACTATGTTAACAATGAGAAGCTGGGCTCGGTGGCTCAGCCTGTAATCCCGTGCTTTGGGAGGCTGAGGTGAGTGGATTGCCTGAGCCCACGGGTTCGAGACCCACCTGGGCACTTGGTGAGACCTCATCTCTACAATAAATAAAAAAAAATCAGCCGGGCATGGTAGCGCGTGCCTGTGATTCTGGCTACTCGGAAGGCTGAGGCGGAAGGATCACCGGAGCCCAGTGGGTCGACGCTGCGGTGGCCGGGAGCGGCCACTGCACTCCAGTCTGGGTGACAGAGTAAGACTCCAACTCAAAAAGAAAAAAGAGAAACTTATACTAATCAAGAGGGATGGTGACAAAAGGAATAATCCCAAATTACTTACATGATTTTGGAATGATTGCATTTTTTTTTGTCACCTTGGTCAATCTTACTTTGTACATATTCACACATGTGACTTTCTATTTATTAAACAAATATTATAGTATGGTAAATTGACTCATGAACATTTTTAGGGTCTCTTACTAGCTGTATCCTAACCAGGAGCAAAACAAAAAAAAGTATTAGGATATACTTACTGGTCAGTCTTTCCTCAAAATATGGACTACAAGGTCTGATCTTAACTTTGAGAAGTTAATTTGGTGAGGTGCATATTTAATCATGCTGTGTCTTTGTCACTTACTAAATAAATTCCAGGGGATGATTATAGACCATTAGCCAGCAACTCTTTATGACTTGAGCTAGATCAGAATCATTTGAGATAAAACTATAGGAGGAGGGACCCCAAAAAACTGGAATTTATTTATTTAATAAATGTGTATTTATTCTTACATGTTTAAATTTCAGTCACATTCAAAGTACTTTCCATCTTATGCAATATACCCATTAAGATGCTTTTTCCACTGCTCAAAAACAGTTTTTGAACTCATCAATTTGGATGCCTTTTAGTGCTTCTGCCATTTTTTGTTTTACCTCTTCCACATTGGCAAAACAGTTCCCTTTGAGGACTTTTTTCATCCAGGGAAACACACAAAAAAAGTTGCTCAAGGTGAGATCTGGTGAATAGGGAGGGTGGAGCACATGCCTTTTTTGGTAAAAAAAAAAAAAAGGAGTCATGCCTTTTTTGGTAAAAAACTGCTGAACATTAAGTGCCGTGTGGGCAAGTGTGCTTGAAAATCATCCATCATGAAATGGGCAAATGTGTTGAAAGAATCTGCAAAAAAAATTCACTGATGCCTAACACAGCCTCTCACAACATTACCTGATACACTGATACTGGTGGGTTCCTAGAACACTCACCTAGTGGGGGAAACCTGTATTACAGGGGGGCCACTCTGAAAAATAATTCCTTTTTTGAGGGGATCCCTCTCATATCTCTTTTATATGTAACATCCATTCAGTCATCAGCTGTTGAATGCTCTTTGTTATATACTGCTATAATAAATGTAGAAATAATACTGTTACGACTATCATACTGTTTGTAACAAATAGATGATGAAAAGAAAGATACCATCTGGAGAAAATTATATAAAATAACTAAATTTAGTGTTGAATATTTGTTTTACATGAAGGGACATTTCAAGGAATATTTTTTGGCAGTCTGTGTTCAACATAATAATTATTAGGAACTTGAGTTTCAGCAGGATTATTGACCTGGAAATGTAAACATGGGCATCTTCTGAAGTATTGGACATAAATTTGAAATATGCCCTTAAACATAACTAATTAAGTAAAAATAAGTGTTTGTAATTTATCTTTCTTTTAATGTGCATTAATCTCTATAGACATTGAGAAATAAAAGTAGTTTTTTATCTTTATCTTTTTTTAGTCTCTGATGTTAAGACTTCAAGACTATCCATCTTTGTCTCATCTTGTTGTTTACGTACCATCTGTTCATGGAAGTAAGGTAACAAGTGGGTTAAGATCGTATCAGAATGTTTTGGGGATACTCATGCCAAATTTTAAAGTTATTTTTGGGTGAGTTTTTTTTCTGCATAAGGCTTATATAAAACAATGGCCAGTGTGATGATCCACTGTTAAATCATTAGAATCATCTACTCCAACTTGAACTAAGCAGAATAAACCTAAGTCCCTTTGTTCCAAGTGAGAACTGGTTCTGATTTACGAGTCTTTCAAAAACTTTTAATTATCAGATACCCTTCTGTGTATATGGTTGTATACCAGGAATTATAGGAGGCACGCAAAAAAGGAAGATATGACCCTTGCTCTTAAGAAGCTACATATAGTTGGGTAGGGGGAAGAGAAATATATTTGGGAGCAGAGAGAAGAGTGAACAAAAAGAGTACCTAAATATATATAATACAAATAAGAATATAGCACATGAAAAGTGTAAAACAGGTAGATAACTCTGATGAATGGAATCAACAATGACTTTATTTTTTTTTGTTTTTTTGAGTTGGAGACTCACTCTGTCACCCAGGCTGGAGTGTAATAGCATCTGGCCACCTCAGCCTCGACCTCCTGGGCTCAGGTGATCCTTCTGCCTCAGCCTTCCTTGTAGCTGGAACTACAAGCACATGCCACCATGCCCGACTAATTTTTTTTAGCTGGAGTTTCACTCCTTCGCCCAGGCTGGAGTGCAGTGGCACACTCCTGGCCACCCCGGCGTCAACCTGCTGGGCTCCGGCAATTCTTCTACCTCAGCCTTCCAAGTAGCCAGAACTATAGGCGCACGCTACCACACTTGGCTAATTTTTGATTTATTGTAGAGACAAGGTCTTGCTAAGTTGCCTGGGCTAGTCTGGAAGTCGCGGCCTCAGGCAATCTTCTCGCCTTGGCCTCCCAAAGTGCTGGAATTATAGGCCTGAGCCACCGTGCCCATCCAATAATGACTTTATAATGATGTTATAATTTTAAATGACCTTAAAATGGGCTTGGTAGCATGCATCTGTTGACCCAGCTACTTGGGAGGTTGAAGCAGGGGATTGCTTGAGACCAGGAGTTTGAGGCTATAGTGAGCTATGATCATGCCACTGCACTCTGCCTGGGTGACAGAATGAGACATCTCTAAAAAGAAAATAAAATAGACTTAAGGGATAGTTAGAATTTTTATAGGTAGAATAACATTTCTAGACCTATACTGACGATATGGGAATCATTAGCACATGTAGTTATTTCTATTTAAATTAGTTAAAATTAAATAAAATTTAAAATTTAGTTTTATATTTGTATTTGTCACATTCCAGATGCTCAATAGTAATGTCGTTGCTGAACATTAGACTAGATAGCTCTGTTTAGACAAAGCAACAATGAATGCAAAGCATGGGGTATATTTGACAAGCAGTAAATAAGTAAATCATTTTGAAAGAATGGCCATCATGGGTAGAATAGTAGTGGAAGAAAAGTCTGGACCATATTGTAGAGGTCTTGATAGGAGGATTTAGGACCTCACAGAATTCAAAAGTCAGTAGGAAGCCATAAGAATTTTTCATCATGGTAGTAATAGGATCATAAATCATTTGGGGGGGAAGATTAATCTATGTATGATATAGGATGGATCAGAAATAGACAAGGTACCTCCTAAAAGCTTAGAAGGGCTTGTACGGGTTGAGCATCCCTAATCTGAGAATTTAAAATCTGAACTTTGAGTGCTGACCTGATGCCACAATAGGATAAGTCCACCCCTGATTGCATGTGGTGAGCTATAATCAAAACTTTGTTTCATGTACAGAATTACAGATGATATATAAAATTACCTTCAGGATATGTGTGTAAGATGTATATGAGATATAAATGAATTTTGTGTCCAGATTTGGGTTCTATCCCTAAGATAGCTCATTAGACAAATGCAAATATCCCCAAATCTGAAAAAATTCTAGCATTTCTTGTTCCAAGCATTTTGGATACGGTATACTCAGCCTGTACTTGAGAAATGGGAGTAGAAAGAAAAGAAGGATCATTTTTGAGAGAGTTAGTAGGGAAGAAGGAAGATGGAGGCAGAAGGCCTTTGATACTCCCCTTTTCCCTCCTTCACCAGCATCCTTCAAGATCTACCCTACGTGTCCCTTTTTCCTTTCCCAGACTCCTCTGGTAACCTTCTACTTACTCTCAAGATACCTTACTTACAACTTTTTTGAGGAGTTTGTTACATTGAATTATAATTTATTTGTGTATTTCTCGATAGCTACCACCATATTGTGAACTCTGAGAGTAACAAACAGACAGCTTTTTTCCTACTTAGCATCTTCAGCCTTAGTCACTCCCACATAAGTGCTCACAAAAATGTTTCTTTTTGAGAAACATGAGAAGGTTGATGAGATTTGCAGCCAAAATAACCAAGAAAATTTAAAAGAAACAGGGAAGGAAAAGGGGGATGTAGTTGGGATTCATCTCAAAGACTGAGTCTCACAAGTACCTTATAATGGATTCATTGTTTTGTTTTGCTTAGCTCAAGTGAGAGGTAATTCAGCATCTTCAATACTAAAAACTCTCTTTAAGGGTTTTTCTGTCAGGTAAGTTGGTTTTGAATGAATCTAACATTTTCCCCAAGCTTGAAAAGGCCCTCTTTAGTTTTTCCAAGAAATTAATCAGCCTTTTTGCAAATAGACAGTCTTAGCAGCCTAATAAATATGTAATATGTCTTCTTGTTCTTTGGAAAGTAACACTGCTGACTCTACTGTTGCAGAGTCCTGTCTCATAGAATGGTAACTTAGGTCTTTTGTAATTTTTGCACATCTATGTAGAGCCTGTCATCAGAAGGCCACGGTATTCAAATAGTGTAAAAAATTTTGAGTCAACTGATATCTTATATTTCTGGGAATGTAATATGGAATTATCTGCATTTCTTATGATAGAAAACAAAATAATTAAACTCATAGAAATTTGTTTACTTTAAATGTATCAGACACAGACCTTTGAATTCTCTCTTTCCTGGGTAAAGATTTATTCTGTTATGCAAAACTAAAGACACAACCAAAATTTTAAAACAGAAATAAAGATTCCATTATTTTAAATGTGTGTACAGAAAGATTTAAATTGCTTTTAAAAACTTCTTTCTTGCCTCAAATATAAGCTCACTCAAAAGTACTTTGTAAAAATAAAATAAATAATCCTGTTCAATTATCCTGATTGCTCTAATCTTTTAACAGCTGTTTGCTATAATGAAAATATCTGACTGTGTTCTTTGCCTTGTAAGTAAAGGAGGAGAAATAAATGCAAAATGCTTTAGCAAATGTTTCCTTCTACTCCTCTATGTATACTATGGTCTAATGGCAGTTTCCCTCATCTGTTTATCACTTTCAAAAGCAATGAAAAGTTTACCCAAGAGGCAAAGTGACACTACTTAAGATACCTTCAAGGTGTAGTTGCTGGAAGACCCTGGGATAGAGCCCCCTGGCTTTCCACCTTCTATAGTCAGTAAACCACTAGGTACAGTTAGACAGCAGATTAATTCTTTCTTCAACTCCTATAGACCAAAATAACTTGATTGCATTGTGGAGATTATTTCAGTGAAATTATTCCTTTACCAGAAACATTTCTTCTTGTAGATAACTGAGAGCAAAGTTTCTTACACAGCTATAGAAATGTTATTTTAAAAAGAAATGTTACTACAAAAAATTGTAATGATGCAGATGTTACATTACAGATTTTTTTGAAATGTATTTATTTTTCTTGCTTCATACATGTAAACCTTTTTTGCACTTACTATAATAATTATTTAACCTGAAATAATCTTACGCAAATAATATTAGCATCTATTAATGAATGGCAGTATGTCTCCAAAAACCTTTTGTAGTTGAATTAAACTATAGATACTTAATAAATGTAGGATTTAAAAAAAAAACATAACAAAATCACATTTTCCTTTTGACTATGAAAGTATTCAAAGATATATTATCAAAATCCCTAAGTAATTCTGAATTAGCCTTGGCTCTTAATGCTTTGATCTATTCTTTAATGTTCCTCTTCTACAAACACCTAAAACTAACTGTAAAAATAAACTTTGCTATTGATCTGTTGTTATAGAAATGACCTTGTAATAATTTATCTGTTAAATTAAGCCCGTTTATCAAGTTTTCTCAGCCTAGCATCTCTCCTTGAAGAATTCTTGCCACCTATGTGTAGACAGAAATATATAGTGTGATAGATGATAATTTCTCCAAAGTTGAGTTTTATGGACATTTATTCACTCAAACATCGAGTAAAGATATTTTACTATAAATGTAATTCTATTTTTCCTAATAAATTGATGTTTTATTTTCAGTTTGTTGTAGATTGTGAATTCTTTAAAAAAGAGAAAAGATCTTTACAGCTTCCTGTAACTCATCTTTTTTCCTTTGGTAAGTATTTTGTTTTTTCATCTTTTTAAAAAAAAAAACTCACCTCTTTTTCTTTGGTAAGTACTTTGTTTTTAGAAATTCTAAGAGTTGCTTTTATTTTTAACAGAGTATTAATTTATTTTCCCAGCTAGTTGTAGTAAAGCAGAGCCTTGTAACATTAAATAGTGAATATTTCAAGTATAGTTCTTAGAATAATTTTAAGGTGTGACTCAGTGGTTTGATTCTCACTTAATACTGGTTCAGTCATCTTATGAACTTTAAAAGAATTTTCTCCATAATCACATACATTTGCAGGTGTGTGTGTGTGTGAGAGAGATGTGAAATTTATCCTAAAATGTTTTTATTATGGAGTATAAAATTGTCAGCTGCCTAATAAGACTTTCAAGATTTTTCCAAGTATTCTTTTAAACTTCAGTTCTAAATAATTTAGACTTACAGAAAAGTTGTAACAGTATAGAGCTTCTCCATACCCTTCACGCACCTTTCCTTAATGCTATCCTTCTACATAAACACAAAACAATTTTTTAAACTAAGAAATTAACCTTAGTGCAATACTGTTGACTAAACTACAGTTTTCTTTGGTTTTCACCCATTTTCCCTGATGTCATCCACATTGTTCTAGTTGTCACCTCTTTAGTCTCCTCTAATCTGTATGTTTCCTCAGACTTTCCTTGTCTTTCAGAACTTTGAGACCTTTGAAGAGTACTGGTTGGTTATTCTGTTGAATTCCCTCAGTTTGCTTTCTTATGATTAGAGTTAGGCTATGCATTTTTGCCAAAAATGCCACAGAAGCGGTCTACATTTCTCTGTGTATCATATCTGAGTATACATGATGTTGATATCTGATACTAGCTATGTCATACACCTTGATCTCTTGGTTTAATTGGTGCCTGCTAGGTTTCACTCCTATAATGTTACAGCTTTTCCTTTTGTGATTAATAAATATCTTGAATGAGATACTTTGAGAGTATGTAAATATCCTGTTTTTCTTCAGAATGACCTACTAATTTTTGCATCTATTGGGTCATCTAGTATTTAGCGAGTATTACTGTGGTATCTACAATTATTGGAAAAGTTGTCCCTTCTCCCCTACTTATTTACTCCATTTTTAATTATGTCAGTGTGGACTCAGGAATATTTATTTCATTCACTTGTATCATTATATATATTTTTTGCTTCAGTTGCTCCCAGTTTGGATATTGGGAGTCCTTTTAGGCTCCTGTGTTCTTTTGATATTCCCCATCCTTTACATATATTTTACATATTTCATTTGTGAAAAGAATCTGTGTTACTTGAGAACACTTCCTTTAAGGTTTTTATAGCTCCAACCCTACCCTCTTTTTGTTGGTACAAAAACCTCAGAAAAATACAGAAATGACAATTCTGAATCACCTGTGTCATTGAAGATAGCAAGCTTATAAAACAAAAGATCTACCAAGAAGCCATACCTTTCTGAATTGAAAATATGTTCTTGACTTTTTAAAAACACATAAATGTGATTGGAAGTCATAAATGTTGTGCTTTTTTCTAGAGTTTATTGCAGGAGGATTAGATTTTTAGGTGTTCACTCCTCTATGTCAGAGGAGTAAACTCTTTTTTAATATCAAAAATCTATTGGCATTGTTTTAATGTTTAGTAATCAGTACATTTTAAAAAAATTGTTCATATTGTAAGTAACACAGTACTTGTAATTCAACAGGATTGACTTCAAAGAAAGTGGTGATAAACACAAGCGGGCTGTACTACAATATAGAACTTTTGAACTTTGGACAGGTAGTTATAACTATATAGTATATAGCTATAACGAAGAATTTTACTTTAATATTTAGTTAAACAAACAAGCAAACTTGTTTTCTGTTTTTTTGTGGTCAAACTTCATTAGATATATCAAGCTTTTAAAATCAACGTGGTAAGCAAGTGCTCAGCAGTCAAAGGTAAATCTATTTTCTGAAAAATATGTAGGATATAGTATTTTCACTTGAAGAATCAATAGTTCTTTACTTAAATTTTCTTTAATACTTCCTTATATTTTTATGTGAAGTAAAGTTAAATATATAATAGAAAAGATGTTTATATCTTCAAGAGATTTAACAGACTCTTAACAGTAAAGCATCTTCATCTGTTTCAGTTTAAATATCCACATTTTAAAAATACTAAATATCTTTATGTCTTATGAAAGAGATAACTCAGATTTAGCAGTTTAATATTTTTCCAGTTTCTTAGCACTGCCCATATGTTCTAATATCTATTATAAATCTAATTAAATCATTATAAATTTTCCATAATCTTTTATCATGTGCTATAACCCATACTGATTATTTTTTATGAGATGGGCATTCATGTGATTAGTTAGGTCTGGTAGTAGCTTGTGTAACATTTAGGGTAACGTGGTGAGTAACACGTTTCCTTTATGTTTAACAGACGAAATAACTAGTATCTATAAACTCCATGTTCCCTGGTCTTATGAAGACTCTCTCACCATTGCACAGTGAGTACATGAGAAAATTTACTGTAGACTTGGTTGTTTTCTAATAATAGATATTCTACTTAGCTTATTTTAATTATATAAATTATTTAAGTGTCTTGTGAAAATGTCTGTATTCTTTATGTAACATTGTATCCATAATTTACTATTAACATATAGTGTCCTTACTAAATTATACAGAACTTAAACCTTACTTTCTTAGAACATGAACCCCCTTCCATCCTCTCTCCCAACTCCTGTGTCTTAGGGAGCATTAACACAATTGTGATGTGACTGAAAAATGCCCATTTATAATGTGTCTGGCAACCAGCTTTCTCTACATTATGCCATTGCATTTTGCTGAGGATTGACCGGACCATGGCTCTTCACCAACATTTTGTATTTGAGAATTGATACTTAAGTTATCTCTTTAGGGTTCCATCTTCTACAGAAATTTCTCTGAAACTCCATATTGGTCAACCAGAAAATGACAGCTATGTGGCATTGCTAAAAATGTACACATCATCAAATTGTCAGTATGAGGTAAGTTTGTGTGCTTGCTTAATCTTTAACATTTAATTATAGAATAAGCTAGAGTATTTTTTATATTAGCCACAGATATATGGTGATGTGGAAGCCTATAAATATAAGAAATAGATACTTAAAATGTTTTAAATATTCTGCAAATTGCCTACTAGCACCACCACAGTATTTCTGTAATTGGACTATTTGAAAATGTATACATCTTAATAAGTAGTAGAAAGTAAAACAAAAATTGAGTCCATAGATTAATATTTTAAATTTGGAAGCCCAAAGCCCAGAATCTTATATAAATCAAAGATCACCTTGAAAGCAGCTGGCATAGCTTGACTGTAGTAATTTACATGATGTTTATTGATTTGCAGTCTACTGGGTGTTAGCCTCAGAATCTTCTTTCCTTTTCACTAGTTATTTTAAACTCTGTTGGTCATTAATTGTGATTTAGAACCTATTGTGTTTGTTTTATAATCAAAGTATATCTCTTTATGCTAAGAGAAGGGGAGTAGATTTGAGAGTAACATTTTATGTACTTACGGATTCATGAGTCCCTAGATTCCACTAAGTGGAATTAAAGTACACTTTCAGTGGTGGTGGCACCTTAGGCCTCTGGCTTATGTGAAATATCTTATTTCTGCTCAAGTGTTTTAAACCAAGTTTCTGGCTGATGTGAAATACCATATTTCTGCTCAACTGTTAAATCAAGCTTAAATACTTGGATTCTTAGTTAGAGCTAACTTTGCTAGGATAAACTAGGGATTGGTATTGTCAAGTGAATAGAATCTATTCCTACAACTAAGTTTCCCAGTTTGAACCTATATTATGAATTAATTTAAGTTTCATGGAATTTTTTTAATGCTTTTATAACTTGCATTTTGCTTCTAACAACAAAGGTTTTGCAGGGCTATAATGGTTTTTAACTTTCAAGTTCATGTTTCTAACATTAAAGCAAAAGTAAGAGTTGTGTTAATAATTTGGCTCCAAATATTACATGTACTCAAAATGTCCATGTTTTTACAAATACTGTTTATTTTCAAGAAGTTCATATTTTGATAAAATATGGTCATTTTAAAACTTCCTTAAGAAATATGTCTTTTTTCTATAGACTTTCTAGTATCAAAAAAAGGTGCATTTATAGTGGAGATAATTAAGGATGAGTTTCTTTTTAAAATACTATTTTGGCTTAAATTCCTTTAGCTGGTATAATCTGATAATAAGATATTCTGATTGATTAAATATTTTAGTTATTAAAGGGTTATCACACACACAATAGCATTTGTTCAGTTGTCAAAGAATTAGAATATGGGAAAGCATACTAATTGGTGAAACTACACTTAATACAATTTAAGTGGTGGTTCAGAAGAGTCTTTAAGATTTTGAGTGCCTTTAGTTCATCATTATAAGTAATTAAATATTATGCTTAGAGATATGCAGAAGTACTCAATTAAATAAAACACGAACTAGAGGTGATTGGGGAAATAACCTTTTTAAAATAATTGTTTTAAACTAGGTGACAGTCAAGACTTCCTTTTCACAAATACTTGGACAGGTAAGAGACACTCCTAATTGGTTGATTGTTTATTGCCTTATGAATAGCTACTGTAAGGAAGGAGCTGCAGACATCTTCTGGAAAGGGCCAGATGATCTGTAATTTAGCAGACCACATGTATTCATTCTCTCTTGCTGCTGTCTCTGCTGCAGCTGTTTCTTTCTTCTTTCTCCTGTTTTCTTTTTCGTTCTTCTACTTTGATAAAATCAGGGGCCAGGTACAGTGGCCCAAGCCTGTAATCCCAGTGGTTTGGGAGGCCAAAGCGAGAGGACTGCCTGAGCCTAGGCATTCAAGACCAGTCTGGGTGACTTGTCAAGACTGCATCTCTACAATAAATCAAAAAAATTAGCCAGCTGTGGTGGTGCATGCCTGTAGTTTCAGCTACTTGAAAACCTGAGACTGAAGAATTGCCTGAGCCCAGCAAGTCAGCTGCAGTGGCCCTGAGTGTGCCACTGCACTCAAGCCTGGGTGATGGAGTGAGACTCCCGCTCAGAAAATAAATAAAAATTTAAAAATGAAATAAAATCTAAAAACAATTCTTGACCCACAGGTCACGGTTGGCCAACCCCTGCTTTAAGGTGATACTTTCATAATTGGTATGTCCCAGAAAAAACCAATACCTAATCCTCAAACAAATTAATATTTTTGCCTAAATGAATGCCATATTAAGGCTTCATGTTGCTCATACTACACTATAATTCATAGTCCAATATGATCTCTAGGCTCTATCATATAGATGAACATTTTCAAAGGACTTTTATATTGTGCGTGTTCAGTTTGTAAAAGGTGAAAGTAAATTCTAAAAAAAGTAAAGTAAATTCTACTAAAGATGAACTTGTTGAAATTCATTTGCAAATATGTTAACAAATAATTTATCAAGCAGTAGAACTACAAATATTATGTTATTATTCAGCATCATTATAATATGCAGAATTGTGCTACCTATACATCAGTAAGATAATATTGATGTGTCAGGAAAATTATATAGTTTTAAAATTCAGTAAAATTTGTATTAAACCTTTTATTACTTTTACTTTATTTCTTGGTCTGTTGTATTTTGCAATCCAGGCATAGTAGAATTTTTTTAAAAATTTAGTCATTTAATAGTGTAATTACAGTGAAACTCACAAGTCAAAATTAAATTAGAATCATGTTTATATGCATTCTCTCATTTAACCCTCACAACAACCCAGTAAGAACTAGATTTTGATTATTATTGAATTTGCGAATATTATAAAATTCCAAGTTTGTATATAAAATTTTGTGTTAAATTAGGAAGAGAAGATTAAATGTTAGTATAAGTTAGAAAATAGCATCTTGGATAAGTTGGAAAATAGCATCATAGTATAAGTTGGAAAATAGCATCAACATTCTAAAATGTTAAGGTACCCAATTATTAAATCTCTTATAGGGGGAAATGTATGCTATTATGTTTTTAGTATGGCCAAAATGCATATTACTGTATACAGTGATTTGGGGTGAGGATATAAACAACTCTCTTATCCATATCATTCCTGTAGCTCTTGTCCTTTAGTGACAAGAAAAGTCAGGTTAGCTTGATACTCTGTAATTAAGAATAATTGTACACCAAAAGAAGACAGACTAACATAACAGTCTTGTTTAGATGTGAAAATCTTTCTAAAGAGTGAGGATGTACAAGTGTTACAGTATCAGCAGTGGGTGCTTTTTTAAAATTTTAAGTATGTGGGGTACAATTCAGGGTTAGGTATACAAATGCTCATTGTGCAGGTACACTTGTTGATGAGGTGTATTTCCCCCACCTCCGTGGGCACTTTTAAAATATCCATTGAAGAATTTATGTTAATGGAATTAAGTTCTCAAATTATTGAAAAGATGTAAAATGTTCTTCCTTCATGTGTGTTTAAAAATTTAGCTTGTAGGCTATATGATAATAAATTAAAGTTGTATATATATCTTATTTGTTTAATGCATATTTTGAATGTTGCTGATTCAGTCACAGAATACTGAAGAAAAGGAATAAAGAGAAACCACTAGGGAGAATCTTCAGCCTTTAAGTAGATAGTTTTTATAAAATTAATATTTTTTTCTGAAAGAGGAAAATACACTCACATATTCTGTAGTCTACTCTTATTAAAAAGAATGCAGAAAGTAAAGTGGAAGTTATTTTCTCAAGATAATCTCATAAACTCTAGTAAATAATTTCTGTATAGGAATGATGTCCAGTGTTTTTTTAGCTTTTAAGAGAGTCTGGAAATCTCAATTTTTAGGTGGAATCCCTTAATTTTTCAGTATTAGCATCTAATTCAAAATTTAAAGAAATACTTTAAATTAATAAATCCCTAATACTGTAGTAAGTCAGGTGAAACATATCTACAGTTTGACCCATGAAGGCAAGCTTATGATCGGTGATTTAGTGGAATCTTGTATACCTAGCTGTATCTGTAGCACTTCTTATAAGACTCTAAAGACTGAAGGACATCAAAGGTAGTGATGCCAGCTAACATTTTCCAGTTACCATGCATCAGTCCCTATTCCAAATGCTTTACACATTTGAACCCCACACCCCTGTGCAGTGAGTATTCCTTATCTCATTTTACTGGTGAAGGCATTGAGAGCAGTGTACCAAGGACCCAGCGGGTACAGGCAAAGCTATAGTCTAGGTCTGGAATCTGCCTCCAGAGTCCACGCTGCTGGCCTTTGCTGTCATGCTCTCCTGGTAACAACAGTACATGTGTTTCCCAACCTGTCATTCTCAGGCTCAGTGTCATTGGATAGTAGGTAGGCAAATAGCCTTTCCCTTTTTACTCAACTTTTCCCTCCCTCCACTCAAAGCTATAAACTACAAAGCATGAGTATGGGCTCTGCGTTGAGTTTTCTCAGCTCTTTTAACCTGGGAATCCATGGAGGAACTTCGGGGAGACCTGTACTTCCTGAAATTTTACACATTTCATGTAAGCTTGTGCTTTCTTAGCTTTCTTCAGATTAACAAAGAGTTTGCTTGTGTTCAAAACATTCTGTGGAATAGAGAGCATGCTGTAATTTCCTTTTAAAATGAAACATTGAAAGAACTTAACACTGTTTCATTATATATGTTTGATACAGAGTTTGGATCAGCTAATAGAATGGCTTAAGACACTATAGCATGAACTTAAGCTCTTATTTTAAAACCCTGCTCCACATGATTTCCATGCGCAGTGAAGGACACAGTAGGTTACTATTAGCAGCTAACATTTTCTGATAACTTATTATATATTATTTCATATCCAATGCTTTACCAAATGAGCTTTTTATTTTTTATTTTTTGAGTCAGAGTCTTACTCTGTTCCCCAGGCTGGAGTGCAGTGGCATGTTCATGGCCACCACAGCCTCAACCTCAAGTGATCCTTCTGTATCAGCCTTCCAGGTAGCTGTAACCACAAGCACATGTCACCATGCCTGGATAATTTTTTTGGTTTATTGTAGATATATGGTCTCACCAAGTTGCCCAGGCTGGTCTCAAACCACTGGACTCAGGCAGTCCTCTCAGCTCCGCCTCTCAAAATGCTGAAATTACAGGCATGAGCCACTGTGCCCAGTCACATGAGCATGTTTAGTCCTCATAACCACCTACAAAACAAATACTATTATTGTCCTCATTTTACTGATGAGGGCATAGAGGAGAGGTAAGTAACTTGCCTGTTATGTTTTAAATTGTGCAAGTTAGTTATGCGTGAATTTCTTTGCCTACTATATAAGGATAAGAACTAACTGAAAGGATTTGGGGAGGACCACATGAGAAAATGCATAAAAGGTGTTTAGGATTGTGCCTGGAGCATAGTAAATATTCAATATGTATGCTTTGAAAGATGTTTTGTAGCATACATTACTCAATTGTATGGTCTCTCTATGATGCCTTTGATAAAAAAAATTCAGATGTGTTTTTTTAATACACTATATATTCTTCACATTTATTTTACTTAGAGTTTTTTGTACTCATTACTGGAAATACCTATGTGACTATGTAGGGAAGGTATAAAGTAAAGAACAATTTTGTATTTTATGTGAAAGTGCATTTATTAGCAAAAACATGGAACCAGCTATGCTGCCCATCGAAACTGGACTGAATTTTTAAAATGTGGTACATGTACACAATGAAATATTATGCAGCCATAAAGAAGGACAAACATATGGACTTCACAGTAATTTGGATGGATTTAGAGTCTATAATACCCAGTGATCTATCCCAGAAACAAAGAACAGAGTATCACATGTTATCACTCATAAGTGGACCCTGAACAATTACCATAATACTTTAAGAAAGGGATTGGCAGTAGCAGGATACTGTTGGGGTGAGGACAAAACATCAATAAGTGTACCTGATCTCAAAACAGGAAAAGTGGGAACCAAAGGGAGGCCCAAACTTTACCTGTATGATGTCTACTTGTATACCTAATCCTGAATTGTACCCCACATCTTTAAAATAAAATATAAAAAAAGAAAGCACATTTATTCCATTAACATGAATTTTCAGAAGTTGCCCATTGATTTGCCTGTTTTCTAGGTAGTTCGGTTTCATGGTGGAGCTCTTCCTGCCTATGTTATATCTAGTATCCTTCTTGCTTATGGAGGACAGTTATACTCTCTTTTCTCAGCAGGTAAGAATACTTAGAATTTTTATGTTACTTTTGTTATAAATATAAAGTAGAACAACTATTAATTCCATTTGTATTCTTATATATACTTAATTCTATTATATTGAATTAGGGCACATAATAAGGGAGTTCTTAGAAATAGCCACATGATAGAAGTTACTATTTCTATTCTTAAAAATTCCAAACTAGCATATGATTTGGTGACCAGTCTGTCCTGCACCTTTATCACTTTTTCCACTATCAACTACCAAGCCCAAACTAGTTTGGGGTTACTAGTCCAGACATTGAGCTTGTGGTCTTAAGATCTGCAAGTTATTAACATTCACTTTGCCTGTCACTTTTGTGTTAGTGTCACTTTTTACTGGAAAAAAATAACTATTTTGAGTCTAACCAAATTAACTGTTAAATTTTTTTTAAAATAATAGAAATCAAACATTGTAATAATCTTCATGTAATGAATTTTTTCAGTATTTGTGTCTTTAAAAGTGGCAAAAAATTAACAATACACACACAAAAAATTAACAGTAATGCCCTAATATTGTCAAGTGATTTTTAAAAATTATTTTTAATTTGTGTTAATTTTGTTGCTGCATAACTGTACATATTTATGGGGTACCTGTGATATTTTGATACATTCATACAATGTATAAAGGTAAAATCAGAGTAATTGGAATATTCATCACCTCAAACATTTGTCATATCTTTTTTTTTTTGAGTTGGAGTCTCATTCAGTCGCCCAGACTGGAGTGCAGTGGCCGCTACCGGCCACCGCAGCCTCGACCTGCTGGGCTCCAAGTGATCCTTCCGCCTCAGCCTTCCAAGTAGCCGGAATTACAGGCATGCACTACCACGCCCGGCTGATTTTTTTATTTATTGTAGAGATGAGGTCTCGCTGCCCAGGTGGGTCTCGAACCCACGAGCTCAGGCGATCTACTCACCTCAGCCTCCCAAAGGTGCGGGATTACAGGCTGAGCCACCGAGCCCGGCTACATTTGTCATATCTTTGAGAGCATTCTAAATCTTCTTTTCTAGCTATTTTGAAATATACGATAAATTATTGTTAACTGTAGTCATCTTGCTGTGCTATCAAATGCTACTAAATCTTATTCCCTTCTATCTGACTGTACCCATTAACCAACCTCTTTTCATCCCTTCCTTCACTTCACGCTTAGCCTTCTCAGCCTATGGTAACCATCATTCTATTCTCTACCTTCTTGAAATCCACTTTTTATAGCTCCCACACATAAATGAGAACACAGTATTTGTCTTTCTAGCCTGGCTTATTATAACTTAACATAATGTCCTCTGTTTTCATCCATGTTGCTGCAGATGACAGAATTTCATTTCTTTTTATGGCTAAATAATATTCGTGTGTGTATGTGTGTGTGTGTGTGTGTGTGTGTGTGTGTGTGTGTATGCGTGTATTACATTTTCTTTATTCATTTATTGATAGGCAATTAGGTAGAGTCCATATTTTAACTGTTGTGAATAGTGCTGCAGTAAACATGGGCATGCAGCCATTTCTTCAGTATAATGATTTCCCTTCTTTTTGATATATACTCAGCAGTAAGATTGCTGGATCATATATGGTCGATCTATTTTTTTCATATTTTAGGTACCTCCATACAGTTTTTCATAGTGGCAGTACTAATTTACATTCCCACCAGTAGTGTACTCATGTTCCTTTTTTTCCACATTCTCACAGCATTTATTATTTTGTCTTTTTTTTTTTTTTTTTGAGTTGTAGTCTCATTCCATCGCCCAGGATAGAGTGCAGTGGCACACTAACGGCCACCCCAGCGTTGACCTGCTGGACTCCAGCGATCCTTCTGCCACAGCCTTCCAAGTAGCCAGAACTACAGGTGTGCGCTACCATGTCCGGCTAGTTTTTGATTTATTGTAGAGACGAGGTCTCGCCAAGTTGCCCGGTCTGGTCTCAAACGCGCGGGCTCAGGCAATCCACACGCCTTGGCCTCCCAGAGTGCTGGGAGTACAGGCTGAGCCACCGAGCCTGGCCAATTTTCTGCCTTTTGATACAAGTCATTTTAACTGACATGATGATATCTCATTGTGGCTTTGCATTTCTCTGATGATTAGTGATGCTGAATATTTTTAAGTTTATTTGTTGGCCATTTGTATGTCTTCTTTTGAGAAATGTGTGTTCAGATTGTTTTTAATTGGATTATTTGGGGTTTTTTTGCTATTCAGTTGTTGGCGCTCCTTATAGATTCTGGTTATCAATTTCTTATCAGATGGATAATTTTCAAATAGTTAAATATTTTCTCCCATTCTGTGGATTGTCTTTTCATTTTGTTGATTGTTTCTTTTGCTGTGCAGAAGCTTTTAAGCTTCATATAACCCTATGTGTTTATTTTTGCTTTTGTTCCCTGTGCATTTAAGGTCTTACCTTATAAAATCTTTGCCTAGTAAGTACATAGTTTCAGGTTTTAGATTTAAGTTTTAATCCATTTTGATTTGATTTTTGTATATGATGAGAGACCAAAGTCTAGTTTCCTTCTTCTGTGTATGGATATCGAGTTTTCTCAGCACCATTTATTGAAGAGACTGTTCTTTCCCCAGTATTTATTTTGATACTTTTATTGAAAATGAATTGACTGTAAATGAGTGGATTTCTTTCTGGGTTCTGTTTCTGTTTCATTTGTCTATATGTCTGTTTTTATGCCAATTTTATGTTGTTTTGTAGTATATTTTGAAGTCAGATATTATGATACCTCCAGCTTTGTTCTTTTGCTCAGGATTGCTTTGGCTATTTGAGGTCTTTTGTGGTTCCATACAAATTTAGGATTTTCTACATCTATGAAGGATGTCATTGATACTTTGATAGGGATTGTATTGAACCTGGAGATCACTTTAGGTAGTAAGAACATCTTAACAATATTAACTCTTCCAACCCATTAATATGGGAATGTTTTCCATGTTTTTGTGTCCTCTTCCATTTCTTTCTTCAGTATTTTATAGTTTTCATTGTAGAAACCTTTCACTTTCTTCCTATGGATTTTAATTTATTTTGTAGCTATTGTAAATGAGATTGCTTTCTTGATTTATTTTTCAGGTTGTTCACTGTTGGTGTATAGAAAGGCTACTGATTTTTGTATGTTGATTTTTGTGTCCTGTAACTTCTACTAAATTTCAGTTTTCACATTTTTTTGGTGGAGTCTGTATTTTTCTAAATAGAGGATCATGTCATCTGTGAACAAGGACAATTTTATTTCCTCCTTTCCAATTTGGATGTAGTTTTTCTTTCTCTTGCCTAACTGCTCTGGCTAGGACTTCCAGTACTATGTTGAACAAGAGTAGTGAAGGTGGGCATCTTTGTCTTGCTCTAGATCTTAGAGGAAAAGATTTCAGTTTTTACCTATTTAGTATGATATTAGCTGGGAGCTTGTCATAGTTCGTCTTTATTGTTTTGAGGTATGTTCCTTTTATACCCAGTTTGTTGAGAGTTTTTATCATGAAGGATGTTGAATTTTATGGAATACTTTTTCAGCATCGCATGCTCTCTATTCTTGGTTTCATTAATTTGATGTATCATGTTTATTGATTTGTGTATGTCAAATCACCCTTGCATTCCTAGGGTGAATCCCACTAGACGTTGTGAATGTTCTTTTTAATGTATTGTTGAATTCAGTTTGGTAGTATCTGTTAAGGATTTTTGAACCTGTGTTCATCAGGCATATTGACCTGTAGTGTACTTTTCTTGTGTTATTTTCTGGTTTTTGTATCAGGATAGTGCTGGCCTCATAGAATTAATTTGGACATATTCCCTTCTTTTTAGTTTTTTGGAATAGTTTGGGTATAATTGATATCAGTTCTTCTTTAAGGTTTTGATAGGATTCAGCATTGATTCAGTCAGGTCCTGGACTTTTTTTTTTAATAGGAGACTTTTTATTACTCTTTCAATCTTTGTACTTGGTGTAGATTTGTTAGGGTTTTCTATTTCTTCTTAGTTTAGTCTTAGATTGTGTATGTCCAGGATTTTATCCATCTCTTATCAGTTTTCCAATTTGTTGGCATATAGTTGTTTATAAAAATCTCTAGTGATCCCCTTGTATTTCTGTGGTATCAGTTGTAACGTCTCCGTTTTCATCTCCAATTTTATTTATCTCTATGTCTTTTTTTCTTAGTCTAGCTAGAATTTTGTTAATTTTTTTTAAAAACCAACTTTTTGTTTTGCTTTATTCATATTTTGTATTTTTTTTTCCTTGAAGCTTGTCCACAGGTGATGGGTTTTTTGTTTGTTTGTTTTTTGGGGGAGTTTTTTGGTCTCAATTTCTTTTATTTCTTCTCTGATCTTCATTATTTTTTTTCCTTCTAATAAGTTTTGGTTATGTTCTCCGTTTTCTAGTTCCTTGAGGTTCATCGTTAGATTATGTATTTGAAGTCTTTCTTCATTTTTGATGTAGGCATTTTTTGTTGTAAACTTTCCTCTTAGAACTGCCTTTGCTGTATCCTAAAGCTTTTGGCATGTTGTGTTTTCATTTTTGGTTGTCTTGAGGAATTTTTAAATTTCCTTTTTTTATTTCTTCATTGTTCCATTTGTTGTTTAAGAGTCAAATGATTTTTTAAATTTTTTAAAAATAGTTTTCAAATAATATCCACACATTGCAGTTGGCCATTAGTTTCATTAACTTTTGTCAGATAACAGAGCGTTTCTCTAAAAGAAAATGATAGGGTGTTGCAATGGGAATACATGTGCCACAGTAAACTGTGCATATTCAGGGAGGTAAAGGAAGACAAAGAATGTTAAATGGAAAATAAGGAATATTACATAATTATTTTGAAATGAATATCTTGACCATAGTATCAGTAACAAGGGTAGTGCCAACCCAGGGTTGGACAAATAGTTGCTGGGCAGAAGTCCTCAGAGAAGTATTTTTGTGTGTGTAAGGTTACAGTGACCTTTGTGCAGGTTGTGGTTTCTGTAGTCTTTTGTAATAGTTTTGTTATCAGATACAAGCATGAGAGCCCTCCCTTCCCTGACTCTGTCAGGGTTCTTTTTGTTTTGTTTTGAACACAGGTGACTCCTTTTTGATTTTGATAACTTTCATAGTTTAAACATCGGTCTTATCTGCCATCTCTTTCCCCCCTTATAATTCACTGAAAAAAACTGTTTGTTTGTTTTTTTACTTTTGAGTTTTCTACAGTTTGGATTTTGCTGATTACCTTCCCAAGGTGGAGCTGAACATGTCTTCATAGCTTTTGTTTTCTGTAGGCTTGATCAGAGTCAGTTCTCTTCCCATTCGTCCCCTTCCCTCTTCTTTCAGTGCTGCTGCTGCAAGAATACCTCATCATACCATCCACGTCTGTTAGGAAGCATGTGCGCCCTGCCTCCTGTGTTATCCCAGTGTGTGTGTCTCCTTCCTCCCTCTCTCCATTCCTCTTCCTTCCCCCTCCCATTCCCTTCCCTCCACTCTTTCCTTCTTCTCTTCCTCTTTCCTTGCCTTTTTTCTCTCCTTCTTTTCATGAGCCAATGTGTTACTACTTCTTTTTCATCCTTCATATGGTTAAGGATGATAGCAGGTTCTTGACATTAATGGTCCTTCTCTTCCAAATCTGCAGGAGTTTGAGATCCTCTAAGTTTTAAGATATCCCCAAGAAAATTCCTCACTTGTTTTCTCCATTTTATACTCTGGTCCTTGAAGGTTTTTTTTCTCTATTCTGAGAATTTCTTAAAATGTAGGGCCTCACTTTGTTCTCCATTCCATTCCCAGTACCTAACATAGTGCCGGCACACAGCAGGCATTAAGTAGAATATTTGGGTTGTATCAGCTGTCAGTTAAATCCAGGCACACTGAATGGAGTAATTGAGTTTTAATAACGGTACTATTTCAAAGGTCTATGCACATCGAGGGAAACCTATGAGAGATGATACTGGACTAGCAACAGAGCCATCTAGTAATTCTAGGTACCAAGACAAGAGAGGGACAAATCTGAGGCTTTAGAAGTGGACAGCATTGTTGGAGTTGCAGCCTTGGGGACAGGAACATTGCAACCACTGCCAGCTTGGGGCTCAGCAGTAAAAGATGACGGGTTGCACACTAACCTTATCCTTTTCCACCCTTCCTTCTGCCAGTACCTCCCATTCACTGACCCTCACTAGAAGCCAGTTCACAGACATTGGCCTCGCAGAGTTCTGAGCAGAGAAGGGTTGGAGTGTGGCTCTGGAGAGGCAGATATAGAACACATAGTATGGTGGACAAAATACTCCAAGAACATAGCAGTCAGAATCATTTCACAGAAGTTGAAGCTTTCTTTTATTGCACTTGCATGGTAACTAAGGGAGGCAGGAGATAGGAAGAAAGAGTTGGGCCAGAATATTTAAAAGCAATCCATGAATCCCTTCACCCATATCCTTCTACAGCTACCCAGTGCCCTTCAGTGACTTATACAACTTCCAGTCTGCCCCTAATGTTCATTTTAACCTGATTTAACCGTATTCCAGGAAGAGGGAAGTGACATTCAGCATGAATTGCTCTAGACCCTACCTTTTAATTAAGAGATTATTCTGACAGTATGACATCAGTCAAACTTGATATAAATGTCTGTCTTGTTTTGAAAGTCTAAAAAACACATCTTATTTTTCTTAGTTTCAAGTGACTAGATAATTGATTCTCAAACATACAGAATTTACATCTAGAGAGTCTACAGAAACTCCAGAGATATTTGATGTTGGTTAATCTAGAACAGGGGTCCCAGACCTCTGGGCCACAGACTGGCACTGGTCTGGCCTGTTAGGAACTGGACTGCACAGCAGGAAGTGAGCAGCAGGCAAGCAGAACTCCGTCTTCTGTCAGGCCAGCAACAGCATTAGATTCTAATAGAGGTGAGAACTCTATTGTGAACTGCACATGCGAGGGATCTAGGTTGTATGCACCTAATGAGAACCTAATGCCTGATGATCCCCCAACTCCCACACTGTCCGTGGGAAAAATTGTCTGATGCCAAAAAGGTTGGGGATAGCTGATCTAGAGGATTTAAGTATAGGATTATATTTCTAACCCGTTAAAGAAGCAGTTCTGAACCAAGCATGCTTATCAAAAGTCATGTATGGATTATACCCACTAGAATAACTATATTTAAAAAGATATATAATAACAAGTTTTAATGAGGATGTGGAAAATTGGAACCTTCACATACTGCTGGTGGGAATGTAAAATGGTATAACTACTTTGGAAGACAGTCTGACAGTTCCTCAAATGATCAAATTTAGAATTACTACATAACTTGGCATCTTTATCCCTGGGAATATAACCAAGAAATGAAAGTATACACTGATACAAAAACTTTTACACCAATGATCATAGGAGTATTATTCATAACAGCCAAAAAGTGGAACCACCAAAATGTCCATCCATTGATGAATGAATAAATAAAATGTGGTACATCCTTGCAATGGAATATTATTATTCAGCAATAAAGATAAATGAAATACTGATACATGTTATTAATATAACATGGATGAATCTTGAAAATTGCTTAGTGAAAGAAGCCAATTACAAAGGTCTACATAATATATGATTCCATGTATATGAAATGGCACAACTGTGGAGAAAGATGGTAGTAGATTAGTGGTGGTTAGGAATGGGGGTCTGGGGTGACAGTTAAGGAGACCAAAGTTTCTTTGGGGGATAATAAAAATGTTCTAGGATGAATTGTGGTTATGGATGTACAACTCTGAATATGCCAAAAACCTCTGAAATATATATACTTTAAATAGGTGAACTGTATAATATGTTTTGAGAATTATATTCAATAAGCTGTTTTTAAAAATCACCTGTGGAACTTTGTGAAAATTCAGATAGTGAAACCTCAGCTTTGACTTCCTGAATTTATTTCAGAAGTGATTAAATGTATACTCTTGTATAAGAACCATTGAATTACATTAATTTGTAATCTTTCAAAAAGAGTCTCTGTGTTAGTAATGAAGATTCTTGCTGATCTGACATAAAATATGTTGCTCTTACAGAGAATGCAGTATATATCTTATACTAAGTGCCATGAGTTCTCTGATGCATATAAATTTTTTTCAATCACCAGGTTATTGCTTAGAGTATGCTACCATGTTGGATAAAGAAGCCAAACCATACAAAGTGGATCCTTTTGTAATTATGATTAAGTTTCTGTTGGGGTAAGTTTTATTATATGTGATACTGATTTTAATTTTTTTATATAAAAAATTGTGGTTCCACAACGCAAAATAAATTTTCATACACATTTGGTGATTTACTTGTTTCATTGAATGTGATTATTTTCTCTTATGCAAAAGCCTAATAATTACAGCAAATATATTTCAATAGTCATAATCATTTCAAAAATAATTATCGAATTTATATGTCAATCTAAACTTAGACTATAAAGATACCAGGCCTTCAATGTTTACAATTAGGTATATATAGCATACTTATACCTAAGTATGCTAGATTCAAAGACAAATCATTATAGTATACTAATAAAGCAATGCCTCTCTGATCACTTTCTCTTACTTCCCAAAGTATATTTTTTTAGACCTCTCTACCCTAGTGAACATTCCATTCTTAACTTACTAATATTTTGTGAATTTTGGTTAAGAATCATTACTTAGATCTCTTTTCTTCCATCATTACAACTAACTCTTGGTTTTCTATAAAAAACAAACAAAAACCACATTACTTCCTGTGAGGATAACTAAATCTATATTGATACTCAGAACTCAGTAGGTTCCCTTGGAAGACAAATGACTTGTTCCATAAAATAATTAAAAATTTGTTTCTCAGTATAATTATAAATTAAGTATCATGGAACTTTATGACCACCCAGTGAATGGTCAAACACTTCAAATACTAAATCCTTAAAGTTGTTGGGGGTTTTTTGCTTTAATTTAGTTTTCTTTTGTCCACAGGTATAAATGGTTTAAGGAATTATGGGACATGTTGTTGCTACCAGAATTGGATGTCATCGTTCTGACAAGTCAGAGCATGTGTTTTCCTCTGGTGTCCTTGATTCTCTTTCTGTTTGGAACGTGCACCGCCTACTGGGGTGACCTGCTCTCTTCGGCATCTGTGAGGCTCCTTTCCTCATTGTGGCTAGCTTTGAAAAGGTAAAGAGTGAGTGATTCAAAGCTTTCTTACTGCTTTAGTTAAGAAAGCAATTATTTTCTGATAAGGAACTTAAATTGTTTTCACTGAACTATTTTCTAAGGAAAAATGTATAACTAGCAAAAGTATGGGTTAGTTTCCAAATTATGTCTTTGTAAAAGCCAGTCATGTGTTACAAGTTAGATGCTACATTTGATTTTTACTTTAATGCTCAAGAGTTCATTTTTTAAAGTTTGACAAGTGACATGGGTATTTTTAAAAATTTCATAATTTTGTGACAAGTTTCCCAGGAGGAATTGTTTATTGCATGGTAGTGCTTTTGTATGCTGACTTTTATAATCAAACCTGAGGACAAGTGACTCCAATCAAGATATTAGCATCAGATTAGATGAGATGTATAAAGGCTCAAAAAACATTGCCTAGAGTTTTTTTATAGCCTCAAAGACACAGTGTGAAGTTACCAATAGGCTTTCCTCGTAATCACCAATCTGATTCTCATTGCCACTCTCCTTACCAGATATGTCATGTCATTTCCTGCAACAGAGGGGAATGTGGTGTGGTGCTTCAGACAGGGGATTCTGACAGGACATCAGCGTCTGAGTGATCTAAAGCCTTTACGAAATAGAAAATTGTTTCTCCTTCTATCCATTTGGGAGATGCATGGCAGAGGTTTAATGGTTATCTTTGGTAATGTTTTTTCCTCCCTTAGTTCATTTATCAGTCATAGTGTGTCTAAGTGGAAGAGGAGCTATCACGGTATATTAAAGAACTTAAAGTCAAATATTTGGAACCACCTGCCTCTATTAAAAAATACCTTACTGCCAGGTGTGGTGGCTCATGCCTGTAATCCCAGCACTTTGGGAGGCCGAGGTGAGAGAATTGCCTGAGCTCAGGGGTTCAAGACGAGTCTGGGCAACATGGCAAGACCTTGTCTCTACAATAAATAAAAAAATTAGCTGGGCATGGTGGTGCACACCTGTGGTTCCAGCTTCTTGGAAGGCTGAGGTGAAAGAATTGCCTGAGCCCAGCAGGTTGAGGCTGTGGTGGCCATGAGCATGCCACTGCACTCCAGCCTGGGTGACAGAGTAAGACTCTGATTCAAAAAAAAAAAAACAACACCTTGCTGTTTACCTTGTGGTATTTGCATATTAATAAGCAGTAGAAGCTGAGAGCATACTATATAATTTTCTTCTTATATGTGGTTGGATAAATATAGTTTTAAAACTTTATTGTTGTAATTTCAGACCCTCTGAACTTCCTAAAGATATCAAGATGCTATCACCAGACTTGCCCATTTTGACAGTTGTTCTGATCACAGTTAGTTGGATAACTTGTGGAGCACTTGCTATACTTCTCTCCTATCTTTACTACATGTTTAAGGTATGTCAGACCAGTGAAGGCAAATGGTCAAACTTTGTATTAAGCAGGCCTAGAATGTCCAGTAGACATCATTAACAAAAAAATTAACCATGTTGTAACCTTCTGTTATGTGATAGGTTTAAATGTAAAGATTTTTACAAACCATCTTAGTTATTTAAATTATATACAGTTAACTAGACAACTGAAATTATTGATTTCAGTTGGTGTATTTTATGGTAATAAAACAGAGGGAGAAGATGTAATCTGTTTCCAGTTGCTTCTTGCTCTTCCAAGTGTTAGCTTTTTTTTTTTTATCATTTTACTGGAGCAATTTTTATTCACATCTCTCTTTGAAAATGGATGAGAGACAAACAAAAAGTGGGATCAAGCTGGCAATAATCACACTAAGAGAATGTAAAATGTTACAACTGCTGCTGAAGAATCCAAAGATGATTAACTAGGCTAATAATTTTACGGAGAAAGCAAAAAACATTTCTGAGACGGCTGACCTCTCCTGCTTATTAAATTCAGGATGTACAAGTGCATACTCTCCACATTAATCTTATAGATAGTTGAAATAAGAGTGGAAACTTTGTTTTCTTTTTTAAACAAAGGTATATTTGCCTCTACTTTTAACTCTGATATATAGATATTATAGATTATTTTCAGTTATCCAAAGGAAATTTATATGCATCTGAAAAAATTATTTAGGGCTACTTTGATTTATTATATAATATTTTTAGTCTTTTTAATTAGGTATTTCAAACAACTGACCCAATAAGCAAAACTTTCTCAAATACTTAATTTAAGGAAACCTAATACATTAGATTTACAGATTTTTCTCTGATTCTTATAAACATTTCACCACTATATATAATTGGGTTCAGATTTTCAGAGATTTTAAAATATGTAAAATATATTAAGTTATTTTACTATATTGAATATAATCAGATCTTTGGCTCACAGACACATTAAGTTGCTGTAGCAAGGTGTCATTCAAAAGCAAGCTTGTACACAATTTAAAAGGTGTGGAAATATAACCTGGCCCTAGCAGGACATTGTCCTCTATTTTGTTTCCATTTCTGTCTTTTTATCCATGATAGCAAGCATGTATAGTTATTGTCCTGTGGTCTCTAAACAATTATTTTTTAAATGCTTAAATGAATTTTCAGTTTAAATTTGTAAAATTTTGCATTACAGCATTTCTTAGTTTTAATACAAAAAGCTTATATACTTTTTGTTTCAAAATAAAAGTAAAATTAAAAGAATCATTTCTTTTTCCTAGATTGTTCATCTGCAAGCCATCCTAACAACTTTGAAAAATAGCCAGCCTGTGGTAAGGTTCATTTTCAAAACTCTGTATAACTTTAAATAAAGAGCATGGGAAAATATGAATGAGGTTTTTTTTTTTTTAAGTTAAGATTTTACAGTGTCTAAAAGATACAGTATTATGTGTTTAAGTAACTTTCAGAAAAATGAACCTAATGAATCTTAAAATAGACTTAAATCATACTAAATTTAATTTCATCTTTTTCAGTACTTGCATTATTTTTATTATTGCTAAAAATTATCGTCTTATAATTTTTATTTTGAATAATTACTTAGAAGATTTATTCCCAGCAGTGAAAATGGCAAAGAAAAGGAATAAAAGTTTTATAACTGTAACTATTTTACAAAACTTTTAAACAAGATAATTTCATTATTTTGGTAATGGAAAGATGAACTTATTTAGCTGTTAAATTGAGTATGATTTTACATAAGATAATATCTTAAATTTATTTTTATTTATTTAGATGTGATATTTTTGCTTTATTCTTTTATAGAATCCCAAACACTCTAGAAGAAGTGAGAAAAAATTCAATCACCATAAAGACACTTCTGCCCAGCATCTCCGCTTATCTGCTAGTGATGCTGAAGACAGTCTCCGCATGCACAGCACTGTGATGAACTTACTAACATGGGTTGTGTTACTCAGCATGCCGTCTCTCATTTACTGGTTAGAGAATCTTAGGTGTGTTTATTTATATATTATTTATGTGGTTCAGACAATAAATATCCCTAAGTAGAGACTTGCTAGAGTCCTAATGGTTCATGAAAGTTCCTCAAGAACAAGAAGCTGTATATTACCTGAAATTTATTTTTAATTCATTCATATTTCTTCTTTTACTATGTGAATATCACTTTCCAAGAAAATTGGCCCAAAGGATTGAATTGTATTTTTATTTATTGGTAAATTGCTAAATAAAAGGCCACCTTATTCAAAAAGTAGTTGAATACTTATTCAATATAGTTTTCAAAAATTATATAATACTTTCAGGTTAATCTCAATACTAGAAGTACTTTTTTTTTTAAGTTGACAGAACCAGAATAAGTTCAATAAATCAAATCAAAGGTTACCAGATGTTAATATCCTTCCTTTGTCCCTTATTGTAGTCAAGATCCAGATTTTTGTTTACAGATTTGTAGTCAGAATTTTTTGTGGCACACACTAATGATCCTGAAAGGCTTTAGACATCTTACTGACACTAAATGCAAGAGAGGAACTGGATTTTTAAAAAGATAAGGGACAGTGAACTTCATATAAACCTTCATTTTATCTTTTTTTTATAGAACAGCGTTAATATATTTTAAATAATGTGGGGTTTTTAAAAATTTTTTATATAGGCATGTGCCTGTTAGGGAAAGGAAGTGCTTTTATACTGGATATTTTCATTTCCTTTCATAGTTTCTGAGTGTGATTCTCCATATACAACTTTGGGTACAGAGATGACCTAGAGCGAAAATTACTTATTAGAGATTTAATGAGCTGTTTCGAGTGCTCTTATATCCATATTGCTATTGAATGTTTTAAAAAATTATTTAATCTGATTGATCCTGATGATTTAAAATGATCAGGACTTTGATTTTTTTATTTTTTTCATTTTATTATAGGTATTATTTTAAACTTAATCCAGATCCATGTAAACCTTTGGCATTTATCCTTGTTCCAACTATGGCAATTCTTGGAAATACTTACACTGTTTCAATAAAATCAAGGTATAGTAGTTTAATCTTCCTTTTTCTCACATCTGTCCCTGGCCTTTATCACCCTTTATGTTATGTCTGGAGCATACTCTTTATTCCCAATTGATTTGACTGTTCCTTAAAGTGAAGCCATAACAGTATCATGATTTATATGCAAATATATTAGACCTGTTTTCTTACTTGTTAAGATACAATAATACTTTTTTTTTTTAAATAAAAGCTAACCCTTAAAGGATATGATGTCTAAAATTTGCTTCCAAAAGGTACAAGAAAAGTGAATAGGAACATAGATTGGTCACAGTTTGATAAGGAGGCTGGGTAATTTGTGTGTGAGGGTTCAGCATACTGTTAGTCTACCTGTGTGTATGTTTGAAGTTCTCCATAACAAACCTGACTTACATTCACTGGTTGCTCTGGAACCTTTTCAGTTGATTCTGGCAGACATTTGCAGATGTTCTAGAGTCAGGCTGACCTGAGGTTTAAATCCTAGCTTTTCCATCTAATAGCTGTGTCCTCAGGCTCTATGTTCTTAACTCCTCTTATCCTCAGTTTCTCTCTTTTCAGAGTAAAAAGATGAAAGCTTTTCCTGATAGTATTTTTCTTTTTAAAATATTTAGTGTCTTATCTCTTCCTTTTGGGGGGAATTTAAGATAGGTTTGTTTTTTTTTTTGGTTCTTTTCTATTATAAGTGGGGTTAAAATAAAAATTTCTGTAACTATGCCTCATTGAGCATTATTGATCATTTTTGTTAGGATAAATTTCTAGAGGTACAATTACTGAATAAAACTCCAACTTTCATTGAAATTTAAAAGACTAAAACTGCTTTTCAGACAAAAATGTTTTTCCCTTTTCTAGTCAAAATAGGATGGGTTTGATCTTTTTAAAAGTTATGGATAGGTAAATTCATTACATACAAAATTCATTTTAAAATACTTAGAACACTAATCTTTCCCCAAACTGAATAAAAGATTGACATATTTCTTTTCAGCTCACAGTATAGTTTACATAACAGTGTGTATTCCTCTGTCCCTTTACAGTAAACTGTTGAAGACTGCTTCACAGTTTCCGCTCCCTCTGGCCGTCGGTGTGATTGCTTTTGGGTCCACACACTTGTATAGGGTTCCCTGCTTTGTCTTCATTCCTCTTGTACTCCACGCGTTATGCAACTTCATGTGAGGGTGGACTTACGGAATGACGGAGATGAATGATGCTGTTCGGGCCAGTTATGAGAGGAATACACGGCTCCATCAATATGGATAGCAAGATCCTTTGAAGAAGACACATCTATTTTTTCAGTATTGAAAATAGGAAATTAGTTTTTTAATGCTTGAGAGAAGTAGCTGCAGCATGGTTTTGTCTTGTGGTGTGGAATCCACATACTAATCATTTTTGGAAAACACATGAAGGGATGTGGTGGCTACTGTCTCTGAGAACTCCTGTGCATATCCCCTAGTCTGTTCTGTCAGCCCTACCCAGAGAACATCACTTAGAGACTTGGTAGATGCAGCATTGTTTATAATCTTTCCTTAAGCATTCTGAGTATTTCGTCAGGTGTTTTCTGAACAGTGGATTATTTTGACTTTTATATAGTTTACATATTAACAAATAAGTCTTAAAAGATTGATGAAATTTATAAATGTTTGGTTTCTCAAAAGTTAAATCACCACAAAGAGTCTTTGGTTAGTTTTTGGCAGCCTCAGTGAACAAAGTAGATGTTTTGGTCTCCTGATATCTACGAAAGTAGAGCTCTGAATTGTAAGGAGACATTTTTTCCTGGTAACCAATTCAAGACTTATGGGTAGAAACATGACTCAAGCTTAAAACTTAATGAAATTTTCTTCCTACTTTTCAAATATGAATCTTAAATATTTTTGATGAATATCAGGAGACAATTAAAGAGATCTGTTGTTAAATCTAAATTGTAAAATGCTCATAGATATTTACTTCCTGGCATTGAAACAGTTCATTTGTTCAGTCTATACCTATTGATTTAACTCATTGCCCCTATGGTTGCCAAAAGTGCCTCAGGTCACAATGGATTGTTAAAATAACTAATAACTCTAATTTCACACCATCTTTGTGGGGGAAAAAAAATCAACGAGATCAAGTATGTAGCACCACATTTGATGTGTGATTTTATACTACTAATGGAATAACAGTAGACAACTGTTACCTGTTAATAGCATAACTATAGACAGTCTACCCAGATAAACTGGAGACATTGGCCACAGGGCTGAACAGTGGAATCTTGATCTGCCTGGGTGGCTTCTAAGATTACTGTTTGACAAAGAAAGGTTCCTATTTTATTTCATTTCAGATTTTACTTCACTTTTAGATCCAAGAGCAGAAAGAAGGTAATGGAGCAAGGTGAAAAAGTATCCTCTTTGCTTGAGGATAGAGTAAATGCGGCTGAGAGAGTTTTTCTTTGAGAAGTGTATACTATAGATGCCGAAAGTCTCTCAAGTAAAAAAATTCTTCAGTCCTGGCAAGTCCACAGTTACACGTGTGGACATATGTCCTTATGAGTACCCAGGACTGTCCTAGAGTTCCAGTACCACTTGTCTCCATTGCATCTGGAGCCATTACCGACTCTCAGCTGTTGCTCCCACAGAGGGTCACTCCCACTTCACGGTTTGCAGCACTCCCTCCCTTTTGGGCCTTCTTTGGCCCTTGCTTCCTGGTCTGCACTTGAAGCAGGGCCCACTTGAAGAGGCTCTTGCTCTCACCTCATGGATATTCACTTGATTCTATTGTCTTTTGCACCTCCATGCCTGTTGTTCAGCTTTCATATTTTTTGCTGTTGAGACCATCAAAGGGAAGTGGTAACCTCATAGGAGACATGGCAGACATACCAGGCTCCTTTTTGTTGGAGAGAAGTGGCAGAAGGGATAAAATGCAAAACACTTATGTGTTTCAGCTAAGAGGAAAAGGAGAATTTATTTCATTATACATTTGTCCCATGGCATAGCACATACACATTTGTAAATAGGGGCACATCTGCCTATGTTGCTATGACTAGTAAATTAGCTGTGTACACACTCATAAACAACTTTTACATACTGTATCTTTTGTTTTGCCAGCTGATATTATAGTGTATTGCAAGTTATAGATTGAATGTATCATTTAACTGTTTCTGAATTTGAACTTAGGTCCATATACAGAAAGAATTTTGGAAAATTAGTTAATTTGGATCTTCTCTTTATAGCTATATTATGTTTACGTAATCTAAAGTCTCCTTGTGTAGTCAGTACTGCTCACAAATCAAATGTAACAAGCCTAAATTTCCAATTTGTGAGTAGTGCATTTGATTTTTAAAGTAGTGGCCTAGGCACACTAATTCTCACTAAAATATTTTCATATGAATGTAGTTATCGCCATGTCCTAAAGTCTATTTATGCCAACCAAATATTTCATTTTAAGAACTACTAAAAGGATTTTAATTAAATATTTTATAAACTATGGTAGGTTGGGTCTTTAACCATTATATACATATACATACAGATGTACACATATATATTGTGTGTGTATACACACACTTAAATTTTGACAGGGTCTCCATCAAGTCCTGATGCACTTTAAACTCAAATAGCTACCACAGACAAGAGGGTAAGCTGTTTCTGAAAATTTGCAAAATTGATGTTTCTATCACTTGAGAAAAAGGAAGTACTTTGCCTTCAAATTACACACTGTTTCTGTCATCAGCCTGTATTATTAGCTGCTAAAACAGCCCAGTCCTATTAGCAGTGTTACTAAACATGAAGTTGTTTATTGGCAGTTAGAGATTACCTAATTCAGCAAATTTCTGTGCTCCACTGTTATGGCATTCTTATTTAGATATTGTTGAGTTGTGAGTAAATTTTGTGCTTATAGAATAACTTTTAGATCCTGTTGTTGATAACTAGATCAAATAGACTGGACAGGTAAGAACACTGGGCACTTTCAGTGTTACTAAAGCTTCCTAAGGAGTTCCTACTGATTGTAATTTAGAACTGATGATGTAATAGATATTGTTAATGTACTTTTTTCTGGATCTTTTTCATGCCAGAAATCGAACAGGTTCTGCCAACTCTTTCTTTTCCTGGTTGTCACCAGAATGAAATATTTAAAGCAGTGATTCTAAAAAAGCCATTTGTGCCTGGCTAACATTGATTTTGAGTCTCTTCAACATATATTGATCATGTATTGATTAATATTTAATTTTGTAATATTTTGGTCAGATAAATTCAGATGTATGTGATGGAATACCTTTTCTTGAGTGAGTTCTACTAATATATACATTATTATAAAGTGAGGAAAACAAAATAAAAAACTACCATAGGCCTAGTAATTGTTTGTTGTTGGTTGTCTTACCACTCATGTAGACACTAAACATTTTCATGAAATACACACACTGGTGGGAGGCAGAGGATTTGTTTGGATTGTTATCTAGATCTGTCCTCTTCTGAATTCTTCAGACTTCTCACTCATAGCATATAGTGTGCCTTTCACCTCACTGTTCCTCAGCCCCTCTTATGGAAGGTGGTCAAGGGAAGTAAAAGGAGGCAAAACTCAGTTTTCAATTTAGTTCTTGAAAGCTCTGGAAAAATGGGGAAATATAAAGATATTGAGAAAAGCTAGGGAGATTGAATTTTGCCCAGATAAGTCAGTTGGCTTATATTTTCATCTTAGGCATTAGATCCAAATTAGTATAATGTCTTGCATCATTATTAGGTTTAGTGCAAAACTTTACAGAGCTGAATTTGAAATTTGAGTAATTGGCTATAAAAATCATTTGGAATTTTTTTTTTTTGAGTTGGTGTCCTCACTCTGTCACCAAGGCTGGAGATCAGTGGCACACTCATGGCCACCCCAGCCTCGACCTACTGGGCTCAAGCAATCCTTCCACCTCAACCTACCAAGTAGCTGGAACTACAGGCACATGCTATCACACCTGGCTAATTTTTTGATTTATTGTAGAGGTGAGGTCTCACCAAGTTGCCCAGGCTGATCTCAAACCCTTGGACTCAGGCAATCCCTTCACCTCAACCTTCCAAAGTGCTGGGATTACAGGCTTGAGCCACTTGTGCTCTGTCTGGGAAAAATTTTAAATGTATTGAGACCTTCTATAACTAGGCATTATTGATGATTTTTTATCATCATCAATTTTTGTTTTCTCGATGTGTCAGATTTATGAACTTGTGATTGTAGGAAACAATGCTTTGTGAAGTCTATTAGATAATAAACAATTTGGAGAACATGCCATGTGCCAGAATGAGGAAGAAATGAAAGCCTCTTCGTATTATGAAATTAGACCTGCCAGGATAGGAAACTTCATTACCTAATAAGGTAAATGTAAAAGGTACTTTCATAAAATAGTAAGATGATTGGAGCATAAATGTTATTCCAGGCTTTTTAAACAAAGAATGTTTCACATTCTGTAATGAGCTTTAAGTGTGCCCATCAGGCTGGGCTCATTGGTTCAAGCCTGTAATCCCAGCACTTGGGAGGCCGAGGTAAGGGAATTGCCTGAGCCCACAGGTTTGAAAACAGCCTGGGTAACTTGGTGAGACCTCATCTCTACAATTAAGCAAAAAAATTAGCTGGGCGTGGTAGCATGCATCTGTAGTTTTGGCTACCTGGAAGGCTGAGACAGAAGGATCACCTGAGCCCAGCAATTCGACGCTGGAGTGGCCATGAGCGTGCCACTGCACTCTAGCCTGGGCGATGGAGTGAGACTCCAACTCCAAAAAAAAAGTATGCCCATCATTTCTACATTCTTTCATAGTGAGTTCTAATAGGCGAGGACATAGGAGAGCTGTGTGGCCACTCACATTCTTTACTTTCAATAAGGATAATAGGAAGAAAATCTCAGACCAGTAATCCAAGTCCAAATGTGTGTTCTATAAATGCACAAGAACTTAGATTATTTGATAAGTTATATTATGAGTACAGAATTTATATAAATTTGTTGTATGCTAATAACTTAGTTTTTAGAACAATAAAATTTGGAAGTGAGAATAGACAAGCTGTTACTCCATTATAGTGGAAATGTAACACCTAAATTGATTACATCTGTCTTTCAAAAGTAAGGTGATATTCTAAGATACATCTTGATTTTTTTGGAGTATCAAGTGATCATTAATTTCTGATGACTCTGTCTAGGACTTGTATATCAAGTCAGAGTTGGTGTGTCCTCGTTGTGTGCATGTAATTTTGGACACTTAGGAAAAACTGAGTCTGTTGGTGTATTTTGATTAGTTAGTATAATTTATTTGCATATTTGAATTACAATCTTAGTTTAGGAAGTCTAAAAGTAGCCATTTTTGTAAAGATCATATGTTATTTTTAAATGTTATTTTGGTTTTTAGTATTTATATAGTAGTAATATTACTAGTAAAAAATGTTTCTGAACAAATAGATGATAGGTATATTTTGTATTTCGTGTGCACTTGTTCTGTTTCATATTGGACTTTTAACATCCCTTTTTTAGGGAAAAAACATTTGAATTCTTTATAGCATAAAACTCTACATTGGAAACTATATAGCTATATCCATATGGTTAGCAAAACACACTTTGCCTCCAAAGCTAAATGAAACTGTAAAATACCTCTGGATATTTGTGCCAATGAACTTTTTTTAGCATATTGGGATGAAAGCAAAAATAACCTTTTCAGTATTTTTCATCTAGGACTTATAATAAATATGTAAATCATACAATCTTATATTCCATACCCTAATTTTTTTTTGAAAATATTCAAGGTTTGTAGCATAGTGTGTTGTATTTTGTCTGATTTCTTGAATGTTTTCTGATTTTATTGGGTAAAAGTTCACCCAATAATGATCTGTCAGCAGTTAATTGATCATTTGAAGTAACTGGGCTTCAGATTTATTTTGTGATATAAAGCATTAATTTTTGTTGTACAAGCCATTTTTTTAGTTCAGGTGTCTCATTTACATAATTGGAAGTTTACTGTGGAATTTCTTTTATGTATTTCCATTCAGTCACTTTATACAGGCACATGTTTCACAGGGGAAAATTGTCCACTGGAGCCTAACATAGTTCAACCTTCTAAACTGCATATCTTAAGGAAAATATTATAATATTATAATACAGGATATTAATGCTAACATATTCAATTCCTATGGTGGTGTACTTATGGAGAAAAGTAGAGATGTGATCAGCTGAGAAACTACTGTGCTCATCTGAGTGAAATACTTTAATTTTTCCCCATGGAAATTCCAAGGAAACTTTTGTTCTGCATGTCACTCACTGCCACTTGCTGTTGTTCTTCTGCCCAGGGCAGTTGATGCATTTGCACACATCCCTTGGAAGTGGAGACCGTGCAGAAAGCCAAATGGCTAAATGTTTGGCCTTGACTTAATTTACCCAGTTATCTAGGGACCATGGGTGATATTAGTAACAGATGCTGTGCAAGCCCTAAGTTCAGTGTACATTTTGTTCTAAGTGTATCCTCTGTGTTGAATAATTTTATCCTACGTAGGAGATGCCTATGTTCAACATAATCGTGATTTCCATATCATCAATATGTATTTGTTGGAATACTGGTAGAAATAACCTTCCCTTCCTTTACTGTGCAGTGGGAAAATACTCTAATTTTTAGTGTGTATCAATTAGGAAATTGTATTACATATTTGCACTTTTATAAATGTAAAAATGACTTAAATATGTTATTTTGAAGGGATTGTATTACAGTTTCTTAAACTTGTGACAACTGAAAATGTAGCAATGTTCCCCTTGAGAAACCAGACCAAAATTAAATATATATCATCACTGTGACCTTGAACTTAATAGTCATTTGGGATAAAACAGACTGTGCCTTAAAATTATAAAGAAATGCCCTGTAATTTTATAACTGTGTATTTTATTATGGGTGGTCTTCTCAAATTGACCCCAAATCCTTATCTTAGAGGTTGGTGACATGAAAGTTTAAAACTAAAGCTGACTGTGGTTTCCCTTAGTATTTGCAGAATTGTTCTTCTAGAGGCTCCCTTAATCTCCTGAGTTCCCGTTTTGAATTAAAATTGACTTAGGCTACATAGAGGTAGAAAATTAAACTTGGCTAAAATTCCTGAAAAATCATCCTAGAAGAAGGTGGTGCTGCTGTTCTGGACCTGTTACACATAGAAAAACCATCTTCAGAAAGAATTTCTGTCTTATTCATGAGTCATCTCTCACAGATATGAATACTACCTAAAACCTGTGCTCACTTTTTCCCCAATTCTTGAGGCTTGTATTTGATTGATCAACTAAGGTTAATTTACCTGATCATGATTTTTCAATAATTAACAAACTCAGATTAATGTAGTATATTTTTAGCATTACTTCCCCCACTTCTCTAATCATTTTTAAGATATCAACACAGAACTGACTCCAGTATTCATGGAAATGCAGACTTGCATTTTTGTTGTGGTTTTTAAATTAATGGATATAATTTCTATTAAAATTCAAAGGATTCCACTCACAGGACAATCATGGTCTCTGCTAAAGATGCTCACACTTCTGTATACTCAGTTTGTTGTATGTTTTTCAGTTTCAATCTTGAACATAAACTCAATACATTGTTTTCCTTTTTTACCTCCACTGCCTCCTGCTGAAGACAAAATATGCATTTCTTTAAAAATATGTAGAAAGAAAATATCTTTCTTAAAACATGGCCAAATTGACATGAAAGTAGTTTGGGTAAGAGTATGTAATAAAATAAATGACTCTCAATCTGCATCAGTTTTTATACTGTTAAAAATTTATAGAGGACAAACTATGTGTTATGCTGAGATAGGCTCAGTAAGTAATCATTTATTTACAAATGATGATTTTGTTCCCATCCAGAAAGTGCAGTGCATAGTAACAGTGCATAACAGGTGCAAAGGAACATGCTCTGTAGTATAGTCTAACTGACTGTTGCTTTGCGGACTTTTCCATTTAAACATGCATGACTTCTCCAGTACTTTGTACAATGTATGGTGTATTAAATACACTTATGTGTAATTTTGTGTTTATTTTTTGTGTGGTATAATTAACATTATTACATTTAACTGGTTGTAATTCACAAAAAGTGCTACTTATTGTACTCTGTAGAGTGTGTAGTGAATGTTTGAACCTGTGTTTCAACATTATGGTGTAGGTTTAATAGATGAATATCTGCCTTCTGTCTCTGCTCAGGTATTAATGTGTAGCAATTTTGGGTGCTTTCTTTTTAATCTGTCATAATCTGGTGTTCTGGATGTTGAAAAATAAATTTGGTGTATAAGCGCATGTGGTACAGATGTTCTTGCCAGTTGACATCCTCCCTAACACTGTCTTGGAAAACACCCTTTACAGTGTTCTCT